CGTCATTTTCGAGACACGCGTGTGAAACCTAATCAAAAGTAATAAAAAAAAAATTAAAATAAATTAAAAATAAACTAAAATGAGGGCAAAACTAATTGCAAATTATAACTAACAGCTAAAAACAATTAAAAATAAATAAACTACTATTTAAAAGACAATTTAAAGCTGTGTACACTCAAAGGTCTATGGACAAATGGTTTGGAGAGAAACGTCTATGGCTGTTTGGTAATCATCTTCCACTTCTGCCCAGAAGGTGAGTCGATAAACTAATTAAAAAACTTTTGCATTGTAAAGAACCAACTCCAAATCCTTGATGTGCTCGAACTCAGTGTCAAGTTGTAGATTGGCGCATTGATAATTGCCATTGCGGCTAAATAGTCCCTGACTTTGTTTAGCTTTAACCTTAGAGAGTTGCCTTGTCTAACAAGTTGTTAGACACGTTAAGTGGAAGTCAATCAAGATAAGCGAGTGTATAAATACTTGCAATATATGAAATGCAATTGCTGGTTATACATATGTTTCATTTAGATAACCAAATCAAGTCAAATGTAATTGGGCAATATAATTACGGCAGGATATTGAGAGTTTATCAACTAGAATAAATATTTTATTTGTTAAGCATAATGATGAACGTTATTTTATATATATTAATGAATATTTTATAAATAAATTTGTAATGTATTTATCTTGCAGAAAGTCAAAAATACTTTGTACATGATCTAAATATTGTCTTTATTTTAGTATAGCATAGAAATCATCAGATACAAAACCACATTCAGTTTTTATGAATGCTTAAAATTTCCTAAATTTGCTCGCAGTCAGTCTTTTCCTCTTTTTTATATCTTTTTCTTATCTATATCTTTAGCTTCACATCACAAGTGAAAATATTAATCTTAAGATTTGTCTCTTTAAACTAACCAGTTGCATATGCACTTGTGCATATATATATGCTATATATAATAATCCATAGCTTAACTTTTCGTATGGCATATGTATTTCTACATACATGTTTAAGGCATCGAGTCCGTGTCTGTGTCTAGTCTGTGCTGTGCTGTAAATACACTTTTATGCACTTATGCAGACATAAGCTGAAAACATTGCTTATTAAAACAGATAAAGAAGGTTACATATACAAGCTAATACGATTCGCCGCGAATAAAAACATCTCATGTAAGTAGATAAGTTATGACACTTACAGATATTGAAACGAGTTGGGAATGCCAGAATGAGATTGGTTTGTATGCCGTGTATGTTTTTGTATGAAAGTTAATTACTCAAGGCGAGCTAAATATATATCAAAGAAGGAATTTATTTAATTACATATACTGTAAATGATAATTCAAGTAAAAGTTTCTTGAGTCGCATATTAGTTAAAATTAATATAAGATAATGAAGCTTTCACAATCTCCAATCTCAAGCACATCAGTGCTGCTGCGGTTCAACGAGACAATATAAGCAAGCAATCAGCAAATATTACTGCAAGTTTTACTCTCTCACACACATATTTGGCAGACGAAAAGACACAGGAGTATCCTCTATCCATCACACTGACCAGCTTGCTTCATTTAACTTTCATCTCAATATTGAAATACCGCTTCACCTATCATTCGGTAAACTAACTAGGAAACAATTTATATATAAAATTTAATTTAATATATAAAACACTGAAGCAGTTCAGGGCACGGCTGAGTCTCAATCTCTTCACCACTTCCATTTTTATTACTTCTAAATTGTTTTGCTTTTTAATGTATATTAAACATACTTTATAAATTTATGCACACCGTTTTTAAGTTATTTTTTTATTCAGCTTGTATTATTTTATTATTAGTATTTATTGTTTTTTAATTTTGTTTTCAATTTCAAATAAGTACTTTAACATGACTCAGAAAATAATTAATTAATATAAATATAAATTAATAAATAAATTAGAAAATATTTTTAAAAACAAACTATAGCATAATTATGTGCAACAAATAAAAAATAAATAATTAAAATATTTTTTGCTTAAACTAACTATGGTTTTACCATCAGCAGAATAACCAATGAATTCAAACTATTTAAAACTCAAATTTGTATTAGTTTTCTTTTACTGGCCCATTCAAAGAAATCTCGCGATTCCGCCAATATTTAATAAATATTTCGTCGATGGCCAAGAATTACTGCAAATATTTGAAGCTCAGTGTGGAGCGAAGTCGTTAAGCAGAATGCTTAAAATGATTTCAATCAATGTGAATATATAAGAAAAACTTACTGAACGAACTGCATGGAAAATATTTTCCATATTTTTCTTTTTTGTTTTTTTTTTTTTTGTGTCCCGCCCGCAGTTTTTATGCAGACGCGCTCGTTCGCGAATGGCGTTGACATGTGAGCGGCGCAAAGGTTTCGCCCGGATGGCTGGCCGGGTCGACGAGCAGGAAAAAGCAGAAGAAGAAGCATTAAAAACCGCTAAATCATCCGCTGCCGCTGCCAATAAGTATGCAATATTCCTTTTGAGCTGTTTGTCTGGCTGTCAGTCGGCTCCCAGATAGGAACTCTGCCCCACTCACTCATCTCGCACTCTCTCTCCCCTCTCTCTCTCTGTCTTCTCCCACATCGGGAAACCAAACAAAAAAGTCAAACAAAGCGATGGACGCATATCAATGCAATTTGATGTCTGTGTACTTTTTTCTGCAATTTTTTTTTTTTTTTCTGATATTTCTTTTTTTTTATTTATTTTTTGCGCATATTCCTTTTGATTGAATTTCAATTTGATTGCAGTTTTTTGCGGGTTCAGTCTGAGGTTCGTTTTTCGCTCGGGGTTTTGCAATAGTTGGTTGAATAGTTGGTTGCTCGCTTGTTTGGGTTTTGTTGGTTAATATTTGGATTTGTTGCTTTTGATGTGGCTCATTTTGTTGTCAGCATTGGCAGCTAATTGAAGAGTTTCAGCACGAGTTTTGTCAGGGCTTCATTTTTGTTGTACAGCAACTAAATTTGTGCGCCTGGCAAATTGCATGAATTAGTCTAATGGGAAATTGATTGCACAGCTCTGATTAAATCATTCTTTAAATGCTGTAAATAACACAAATTACAAATTAATTAAACAATTTAATTATATATTTAACTTTGTCAACTTTAAATAGCCCTGTCACTAAAATTATATTGCTTAAGTAAAAAATGATCAATAAAAAATTCACAACTTTTAATATATTTATTTATATTTATATAATACAAATAAAATTCCATTTTTATGAATTATTGTTTAATTAAAATTTGTTGACAATTATCAAAGTAGTTAAGAATTTTTAAATGAAAAGGAATTCAGCGTAAATTGTGGTATTTTAATTCCATTTTATGTTGCTATATTTATATTTTACTACAGAACAATTTAACACATATTTGAAGTGACATTTGTTTAAACGTTTTTTATTTCATGTATATAGGAATTTACAAATTTTAAAATTTTTTTATAATATTATCATTTAAGTATGTTGCATGGATTTTAATTTAAAATATTTCTGCACCAAAAAATGTTAAAAAAAAAAAGAAACTATAAAGAGCCCCCACATATATTTAAAAATACAATAATAAATCCTCAAATTTCTGTATTCATATAAAATTGGCATGTTTATATTATATATATTGAATCGCAGATATTATATAAAGCGATGATTTCCTCTCACTCCTTCAGTTGTGTTTTTGTGAAGCTGAGAGTTGTAGAGAGCTATATTAGTATTATCCGAGTGAGTTTGCTTCTTAGTTGTACGCTTCTCAATTCAGCCTAATATTGCTGTTGCTGTACGTAGTCCCGGATATGGCCAAGTGAGAGTGAGATGGCTATTTAGGCCATTCTGACAGAGTCGTTATGATTGCCAATGGACGAAGAGAGGTCACTAGAAATTGATATTATGGAAATTAACTTGGTTTTGAAAGACACCGGGAATTGATTATTAGTTATTATTAGATTATTATTAGGTGGCCAAACTTGCTCAATATGCGACATATAAAAGTTAATTGATTTTGAAAAGATTCGGAAAAATATTTCCACTGCTCTGAAACTATATAGATATAATTTAAATAATTATGTAAGTATTAGAAACCTTCGAGCTAACGTAAATAAATTCGAACTAAATTTCTTGAATAACATCCAAAAATAATCTTCGAGTTGTCTGGCATTGCTGACTGAATTCAAATTGAGTATTTTTAACAAAAATAATTTCACAGGAATTTATTTTTTACAAGCAAAAATTTTTCTTTTATGGAAATATCTTTGCAAATATATAGAAAAGGCTAATAAAGCTGTCTGTTTGACAACAATTCTTTGTTCGTTATAGAGCAGTTCGCCTGTATACATTCATAGATATATAAACATATAGATATTAACTTTGATTTCAACTCAACATACAAGTAGCTGCACTCTCAACACACTCACGCCATGATTTTCATATTCAGAGTCGCAAAGCAATTCCATTTCACTTCACACTCAGCACTTCCCTTCGATATTGGCCCCTACCCGACTGCGGCAGCTGCCTTTGCTGCTTTGGACTTTCATGAGCTGCATTTTGCATGCGCTGTTTTTCCCTTGAATCTGGTTTTTTTTCGACTGCCTCACTCACAACTCTCGCTCTCTGGCAACCAGGCCGGCAGGTGGCAGCTACTTGTGCTGCCTGATTCATTTGCATGCCGGCTACTTCTGTGTAGCAGCTGTTTAGTGACCCCAAAAGGAGGGAAAGAAATAGTGAAATGGCGACGCTGCCAGCACGAAACACGTCATAGCCCAAGCATCAAACACCTGGGCCGTTGTCAGCAGGTTCGAATGGGGGAAGGGGAACAGCTTGGAAAATGGCAAGTCGTGCATTAAATATGCAACATGTCCAATGCATTTTAAAGCACACACACATATATATATATATATATATGTCTATATCCCTATATCGATAAAATAGATAGAGCGATGGCGTAGTCTACATTTTGCGCTGCTGTGGTGCAAACGTGTCTTATTCTCGGTTCGCGTTGAAATAATAATGTTTCACAACTATTATATACCGCAAGCGTTTCAAGACTCGTTCCTCTATCGGCTCATACAAAAGATACAGGTGTGCCAGGAGCCAACTCTAAATGCCAGACACCAACAACCACAGCACTACAGGTAGGTCGTAGCTCGAAGTTCGAAGCGAGCAAAACTTTCGCCATTGGCTTACTCGTAATTAGCTTCGATAACTTTTGGGTCCGTTTTGCCCAAAGCCCCCACACCTAGACGGAAAGTGAAAAACGCTGTGCAGAAAAACTTTACGCCCAATGACATTTAATCCTGGCGCACAGACACGCCCATTCACTCACGCTGTCCTTGGCCTTTTAGCCTACGCATGCCATGCTGTCTGCAGCCCGCAAGTATGCAACACTTTTCTCTTCTTCTCTATTCGATTTTACTGCCGTGCGTGTGTGTGCTGCACATTTGGCATTAATAGCTTGTTATTTATTGCACTTTTGCCCACGTCAAGGCCACATCATCTGCCCCCCACCCTCACTCCCTCACCCCGTTATGCCTTTATGCTAACCAAATACCCTTACCATTTCCATAAGTTCGCATATTCGCAACGTTGCCAATTTTCACAGCTGTCTGCCGCATATAAAGTAAAATAACAAATAAAAATCTTGCACGCACTCGACTGCGTAATGCCCGCTCAAAGATTGAACAGTTGAATTTATATGAAATCAAAGATTTATTTTTGAAATGTGATTCTAGTTCGAAAAGTATGGAATATGTCATCTTAATCGATTTGCCAAACTCCGTAATCCATAGGGAAGCTCCATACATATACGACTTTTATATCCAATATACGATTCTTATTCAAAATCGATATATAATTTATTTCACTTGCATTGTCATAACAACTAGCAACTAGCAAAGAGGTGCTTCAGGGATGCAATCTATTTATAATTTTATGTTTCTAGTTACGATTAGAGTTCCTTATATTTAAGTACATTTATCACATATCAAACCTATACTGTTCAAAAACCCATATACTGTTCAGCACTTTCCCGAACGGGTATATCAGTAAACTTTTTGCCAAGCATATTTATTTATATTTTTGAGCAAAAAGTTTTTCGTTCTGCAGCTTATTTTTAAGCCAGCTGAGTTTTTTTTTGGCATTAACAAAAGCAAAAAGAGTGCTTAGCAAAAAGGTCAGTTTGATGAGGCTTTGTTTGAACTTGAAGTGTTACGAGATAGCACAAATTGGCGTATTACAATTGCCAAACATATTTTCTGAAGCGAAAGCTTTGGCAATCTACGTGAATGCTAATTGCAGCAAAAGTCAAATATAATTCTATTCAGAATAGTTAGACGTTTGCCAGTGGAAAATCAATTGTTATATGAATTTGTATAGAATTGAACTTTTTGTGACATTTAGGCATGGCTAAGAGAGGGTAGAAGTATAGAGATAGACAGATGGGCATGACTACTATAGTTTAGTTCCTTAAACTTGTGCATATGTATTTTTTTATAGATATAAAATAAGTAAATATATGGATAAATATATTTATTTAATAATTATTTGAGCAGAAAAATTTCCTTATCTTAATTATTTCCAAAAAAATTAAGTGTAGAGTTATATATCAGACATCTCATTTACACTTCAGTAAACAATTAAGCACTTGCGATAACATGGCCATGAACCAATAATAAATACATCAAGCAAAGTTTAGAGGCATGAAAACTCTTAATATAAATATATATATATATAAATATATATATATAAATATATATATTTATATATATATATATATTTATTTATTTATTATGTATATTTCTCTGTTGATAATTTTGATAGTAGGATAAGATTCGTGTAGAGTTCTGACTGGCTCATGATAAAAGGCTGATTAAGAGTTTTCATGTTTCATATATATATATATATGAGTTTTCATATATATATATATATATATTTTTTTTCTTTAGAATTTTTAGTTGGATTTTCTTGAATGTTAACAATCTACAGGCAAGCATTTTTGAGATGATATGGCTTCTTCATTTTTAACTTTAAGAAAAAGCAATTTAATAATAATTGAAAATAACTTTATCTTTATTGAAATATATATACCTGCCTCACGATAGTATTTCACTTAAAATGAAAAAATTTTAAACCTCTCTCACTCTAGACCTCTACCAATTACGCCATCCAATTAAATAAGCAGCTTTCGAATTCATTGTTAACTTCACTCAATTATTACTTCATGCTGCAGACATCGCTCACTCGCATTACCCGCCGATTCTGTACTATACAATCAATATAACAACAATAGGCTCGGTCGGCCACTTGACCAAAAGTTGAACAGCCGCTGGCAAAGTGTCGACTATTGAACCCAGCACAAAGGGAACAATGTGGCCAAAACTCTCGAGCCTCTGAAGGCGAGGGATGGTCGTGTTAAGAATATAATTAAGAGCCATGAAAACGACTACAATTACACGTAAAAAATGGCAGGAAAATCAAAGCAACTGCCATGGCATATACTTCACAAACAGAACGTTGTAAAAATAGCCACAAAAATTGGAAGTGTGCGCCCCGCGCGCCCGCAACGATTCTCGTATAATTATGCAAATTGAATTGCGCGAATCGCTGGGACTTGTTCAAATGCCCCCACAGATATAGTCAGTTGAGCAAAAAGGGAAAAAGAAAACAAAAAGGTCAAAAGCCGTCCAGCGTATTGGCGAAATTAGAGGGCTCAGGCAATAGGAATTAAGCAGGCTTTTCATTTGCTCTCACTCCTTTCTCCCTCTTTCTGTGCCGTTCTGGTACAACGCTGCGTATGCGTGACATTGTTTAGTAATTCATTTCAGTGGGATTTCAATGCATTTTTGAGTATATAGTTAACGCGTTGTTAATGCCACACGCAAACGTAGAACGAAACGCGGAAGCGCCAATGTCCAACGCGGCGTATGTGCAATGTCCGCAAATGCAATCGAATTTCTCTTTCTTGTTTTTTTTTTGTGTTGTTGTTTTACTTATTCGCGTGCCCGTTCTTGGCGTGTTGGCCATTTGGCTGGCTTGGCCAAATGTTTGGGCCAGAACTTCAACTTCAGTCATTTGCCGGCTCTTGGCGTTTCGACATCGTCTCGTGTTCCCACTTTTATGTGCTATCGTTGGCGCTAGTGTCTTTATTGTCTCTACTAAAGAGTGCAAGGTGATAAAAAAAGAATATATTGACATTACGACATTCACCATGAAAATGTTTGAAATATCCAAGTTGTTTTCGCTGCGAAGGTAAGACCCAAGTTCTTAGAATATTCCACAAGCCATTTTAGCGAGAATTTAGAGAAGTAGTAGGCTCCCTAGCTTATTAATGCTATTTCAGCTACTATTATAAGAAGTTTTCTGTGAATTGTACTTTCATACTTCATAATTCATATGATTTTCACAAGAAAATTATTTATTAAAAAATATAATAAAATATAAAAAGAAATATTCTAATAATAAAATTAAATATATTTTTAAAAGCAGAAAAATAATACAAAAAATAAGATTTCATACAATAAAATAAAATGAGCTCGTTTCAGAGAAATTCTTTAACAGAATTTCCACATTTTATATTACATTTTATGCTGCTTAATAATATGATACTTTAATACTTGTGCTCCAAGTAAATAGAGCATATTGGTCTTAGTTGGCAGCACAGCTGTCTTTACTTTTATTGAAGACACAAAGTGTATATTTGGTTAAGTTTAAAAGAGTAAATGTTTCAGAAAATCTAATGATTATTTATCAATCATTGAAATGGAGTAAGCGGTGTTTTTTTTTTGTATATATGTAAAAGACAAATAGTGGGGGCGACGACTAGATAAGTACAAAACTATTCGGTTGCAGATCGTCTTATAATATTGATCACACGCTGATGTTGCTAAGGCACAGAGATTCACTTCACAAATTGTAGAATTCTCTAAAAGTTCGTACAAGCTATAAGTGCTTCATATTCTGAAAAACCATCCACATTTAAGCTACTCCAGAATTGTTTATTCCTTAGCTTCAAATCAAAATTAATAATTATTATCTACAACTAGGCTCATAAGAGTTACTATAAATAATCTATAGAGTTTGAGAAAGCGAACTGGAAATAGTAACAAAAACTCAACTCCCACTCGACTGTCAGGGTAACTCCAAGTCGGACACTCCCTACCGATTCCGATTTGTTATTTATTAACTGACTGACAGTTGCATGCCTCAGAATTCCAATTCAACATTTCTCATTACAACATATCATATTTAATCAGTCGCACTTCACTTTTAATATCTTTTATTAACTATTTATTTGTCAATTAATTTGCTGCACGTTAAATTTGTGAAGCACTTTTTGTGGAGCTTAATTCCAGCTCGTAGCTGTAATATTTCAGCGCATTATGCCATAATTGCACAGTGAAAATGCCAGACATTAATAAATCATATTGCCTTGGCTTTAGCGGAGCACAAAGAACTTCTCATGCCCCATCGAGACAAGTCGCTTGCACTGCTGCACCAGTTTGATGGTCTTCCCGAGTTCAGTCTACTTTCTGGCTGAGTCGAGAAAATATCACGTGTAGCACAGTTTAAGGGGCATACGCCCACAGTTCCCGTTTTAGCCAGAAGCGGCGAGCTAACCTCAAAAGGCAAGGTAAAATGTACGCCTCAAATGCTTTCCGGTAGTAAAACAAATACAAACACTCACACAGAACAAGCCACATAGAAGGGGGAACCTGGTTAGAGAGTTGGCTCTAACATGAGAACACATGAGAAACTTCTTGAACAGAAAACACGCCAACAACAACAGCAAGCAGGAAAAAATGAAACAACTTCGAAGCACTGCGCATGGTTTGCTTTTGTTGTGGTTTTTTGCTTTGTTAACTTTCGGTCGCATTGCTATGACATTGGCGCCCAGTCGAACGACACGTCGGCAGCGAGAAGGGGTTGACGTTGAAAAAATACAAAATATGTAGGGGAGCCCTTCAAGCCGGGCCAAAAGTCCAGGCAATCAGTCGCTGGTTGTCAGTCAAACAAACCGCTCTCTCTCGTACAGGTCGCACGCCTTTGACGACCTTACAGAATTGTTGCCGTTTTCTTTTTCTCTTTGTCGAAAGCAAAACATATTGATCGGTCCATCAAGACAAATACCACATCAATTAGCGCATGGTGTGTATGCAAGGCTTTGTAGCCAGCTTAGCCAACGTTGTGCTATATGCAATCATTAGAAATCGCATATGTAAAAACTCATCAAACCTATTCAATTTATTCCACTCCATTCACAATTCCAAATAATAAAAACTAGTGGCAAATACGTCAGATTATAGCCAGATGGATACCCACTAGGTAAGTGATCCGTTGGACAACTCCTAAGCCTTAATTCCTGTCTATTCTTCTGCTATTGCTCTGTTTTTATTTTTCGTTTTACGTTCCATTTGCACTTGTACCTTGTGAATATTTAATTTTATTGCATTTTCTATGTTTACGATCCGCACACATGTTTCCAGTGCTTCAAAGCCCACAATAAGGTTCAGTTACCTCGGCCTGACATTGAAACGCCAGTTAAATGTTGGTTTATTTCCAAGCTTATCAAACATAAAACATCAGTCAAATCCTAAAGTTGCATGCATAAAACGCCATTTTGATGGAAAAGGACACGCATTAGCATTGCTTAGCTGCCAAATCGATTTTAGCTGCCTTTTCCCTGTTCTCAACTCAGTCAGGCTATTAGTGGGTGACAGCAGAGCCACTAGCATTCAATTTGTGATTAATTTTATTGATTTTTGTCTTAATGACAATTGTATAGACGTTTTTGTATTATAAATAGCTGGTTAAAATAGTTTTTTCGGCAAAGAATTTTTAAGTATAGTTAAGTTTCTTTGAATAAGAAATTTTAAGAGAGGCAGAGAGGAAGAGAGAGAGAGAAACACCAAGAGATTGAGTGAAAGAGAGAGAAAGATGAAGAGACAGAGTGAGATAGAGATAGAGAGGGAAGGAGAAAGAGAAAGAGGTAGAGAGAGGAAGGGGGAGAGCCAAAAACACTGAGCGATAGAGTGAGAGAGAGATGAAGAGAGAGAGTGAGATAGAAAGATGGAGAGAGAAAGAAAGAGAAATACTTACATAGACAGAAATAGAGGAATATTTTATAATTCCAAATGGCTCGTTGAGAAATATTAAAACAAAAAAAAATTTAGTCGGCTGCTTAGAATGTTAGATAAGAGTCTGGATCGTGGATCATGGGAACTGTGGCTTTCGAGATATATATATACATAGTTTATATATAAAAAATTTATTTTTATAATTCCAAAAAAGACTTCAAATGATTTAATCGGCGCTTCATTTAACAAACAGAACACTCAGCATAACATCAATTTTGCAAGTCAAGCCGAGGCACTTTTTTCTATTTTATGCACAAAACATTTGTATTTTCTCTAATTTTGCTTAACAAACTCATTCACTGCCATTTGAATAACCCATTAAACCTTTTTCTAATCTCATTCGTTTTCGTTGCAAATGAAATTCATCAAAAAAAACTAACACAATTAATCAGAACCGTAAATCGAAACAAAATCAACTTTTGGACAAACATTGAAAATTGAAAATAGAAAATTGAAAAACTGTATATAGTAAAGAACATCAAGTAAATGATCACCGCTCATATACCTATGCCATTTACATATGTTGTCCCGATCCAAACATACCACATATGTGACTCTGATCTCTCATGTGTTCGTGTCAAACCAATAATAACATCATAAACATTCTATGTGCTCAATGCAAAGCAATGCGTCGTGCAAACATCAAACGTGGTCAATGTTTGAGTCTAAGGTAAAGCCAAATTATTCAAAACTAAATGTATATCAAATGTTTACTGTATATATTCATATATAATAGAGAGAGTTGCCTTTTACATTGGAATTTCAAACACTTTCAGACCACAAGGTAGCAGCAAAATGGATCGTTATGAGAAGCTCAGTCGCCTAGGCGAAGGCTCCTACGGTGTTGTCTACAAATGTCGAGATCGAGAAACGGGCGCTCTTGTCGCTGTCAAAAGATTTGTCGAGTCCGAGGACGATCCAGCCATACGTAAAATAGCATTGCGAGAGATAAGGCTGCTGAAGGTAGGTTTCATATAAATATATTCAAAAATATCTAATTAAAGGAAGAACATCAAAGTCAGCTGCATATGGATTGTAGATTGTAGACTATGAATTAATTTTAATTTATCATTTTTATACTGTAAACAATGTTTTATGAAAGGCTTTGTAAAAGACAGAATGCGTGACAGATTTCATAAATATACATATATATTCATATATATATATATATATATATATATATATATATATATATATATATATATATATATATATATATATATATATATATATATATATATATATATATATATATAAATATATTCATCAAGATCAATAGCCGAGTCTATCTAGGCCTTTCCATTTGTCTGCCTATCCGTCTGCTAGAGCTAGAGTCCCCTATAGTGTGCTCATATTAAGTTTGTTGTTTGTAATCGATAACTATACCCTTTTGAATGTTATCGATTGCAAACGCTATCACACTTTAGTTATTAACTTATATCTCCTATGTCTTTATATCTAGAGTCTTACAATTTTGCGTCTATTTTCATGTATATTTCATGCAATTTTAATTAATAATATATCCTGGTTATCGATGCCCCTTTAACCCAAATTCTTCATATTTAAGTTCATTTGCAAATATAGAAAATACGTTGAAGAGTTTGAATTTTCACGACGACAAGTATCACAATAGCATATGTAGATCATATGCTAACAATTTGATTAAAATCCGTTGAGTAACACAGAAGTTATTAAGCAAATCGTTTAGCCAACTAGCAAAACTCGAAGGCAGGCAGAGACCAGCGTGCGCGATTTCTCTATGCATTTGAACACACACATTCAAATGCGTGCATTATTTATGCAATTCAATTAATTAAATAAGAATTTAAATTTAATTCTGCCTGACTTATGTGCTACTTTACTGACGATAAAGTGGCTAGGATGATAGAGACGCAGGTTAGACTCCTTTCAGACTAGAGTTGTCCCTATTCGATTTTCTTTTTTTACGAATTCCCACACTACTTTCTATCCGATCACAATCCAATTGTACAATTTTCCTTTAGAGTAATTATATAAATATTTTTAATAAAATTAAGAAATGACCTAATCCCTTCAGCCATTAAGTAAAGGACTATCATATCATATAGCATCACAGAAATGTTTGCTTAATAAATTTAGTTAGAAAACTTTGTGTAGGATTTTCTCATCTAATTAATCTGCAGGCCAAATCTAAATCTTATTCTATATTAAGTTTTCAGAAACTAATCTTTACTAAAACAGTTTATTTATCGAACAGAAGCCAAGCTAAAATTATAATGTATTTTATATTTATACTTCCTTTAATCTATACTTTTCATATACAATTCCATTAATACTGTCTCTTATCTCGCTCTTTAAGAATCTGAAACATCCGAATCTGGTCTCCCTGTTAGAAGTGTTTCGTCGCAAGCGTCGCTTGCATCTGGTCTTTGAGTTCTGCGAGTTGACAGTGCTACATGAGCTGGAACGTCATCCGCAGGGCTGTCCAGAGCCGCTGACCAAGCAGATATGCTATCAGACACTATTGGGCGTGGCTTATTGCCATAAACAGGGCTGCCTGCATCGCGACATCAAGCCAGAGAACATATTGCTCACGGCCCAGGGTCAGGTGAAGCTGTGTGACTTCGGCTTTGCCCGCATGCTCAGTCCGGGCGAGAATTATACAGATTATGTGGCGACGCGTTGGTATCGAGCACCTGAGCTGCTCGTAGGAGATACACAGTATGGCACGCCCGTGGATGTGTGGGCGATTGGCTGCCTGTTTGCGGAGCTGGTGCGTGGCGAGGCGCTGTGGCCGGGACGCAGCGACGTGGATCAGCTGTATTTGATACGGAAAACTTTGGGGGATTTGTTGCCACGCCACATACAAATTTTCGGGCAGAACGAATATTTCAAGGGCATAACGCTGCCAGTGCCGCCGACGCTCGAGCCGCTCGAGGATAAAATGCCGGCGAAGGCGTTGCAAAATCCGCTTACCATCGACGTGCTTAAGAAGTGCTTAGACAAAGATCCAGCCAAACGCTGGTCCTGCGACAAGCTGATTAAGCACTCCTACTTCGATGACTACACGGCCAAACAGCGCGAGCTGGATCACATCAACAGCCTCGAGGCGGCTACACTTCGCCAGCAGCAGTTGGCCTCGCAGCAATTTATGCTGGCCACCGCCGCCCAGCAGCTGCAAACGGGCGCAGCTCAGGCAGCGGCCATAGCAGCGGCGCGTGATAAATCAAAGGTGAGCGCAAAGTTTCATCATGATCGAAAATTGTAGCTAATCGTGTTTTTCTCCACCTGCCTCAGACTTCAAACACTTCGTTGCCGCTGCTGCCGAGCAACCAGCACCATCATCATCATCATACGCATCAGGACTTTGTGAAGCTGCAGCCGTTAAACAAGAATGCAGCCATGATGCATCGCACCGAGCATCATCTGCCCACCATTTGAGCTGCTCTGAATTCGACTATTTTTATCTTTCTCTCTACGACTTCGACTCGCAATACTTCAGTATTTTACTGCAGTGTGTGATGCAGTTGCATTAGTTTCTTTCACTTCTTCAATAAATAAATGTAAAGTGTGAAAAAATAATAGATAAATGACTTTTATTTGTAAGAGCCTAAGTAAGTAAGAGCGTAACGTATCTGTGGAGAACAGTGATTCACATGCAAGACTTTTCCATATTGACTTGAAAGGTGAGGAGATCAAGAGAGTTCAACAGTGACTAAGTTATCGAACTTTTGGGGGTCCAGCTTCAAAACTGTAGAAGATACACCTTAAGCGATCTGCCACTTTCTATAGAGAAAGTCACTTAAAACTGTAGAAAATACAGTTATTTTTCAGCGTACTGCAAGTCGTGTATTTCAGTTCGTAAATTGTATAAACATATAAAATAAAAAATACATATAAAATAGTAAAACGATCAGTAACAGTGAAATTAGCAGATTAACTATGGTCATTAACATTAACATTATAGCAACCTTAACAGGAACATGTAAAGTACTAGCTATATTAGTTTTTGAAGCAATAGTCAAGTTAATTATCTAAGTAGCTGGCAAATAAAGAAAATAGATATTCAGTTTTAAGTCCTTAAAATTTGTCAATTACTAACTATAATTAAAGGCGTCATAGACTTCAGCTTCTATGTATCACATAAATATTTTGTGCAGCCTTTAAATTTCTTCTACAAAGGTATTCTACTATTTTTTGAATCAATACAATTTTGTCAAATAAAAAATGTTGACATGAAAATCCAATTATGGTTTAAAAACTCATATAGCACAGTGTCAAAGAACGTCGAAAAAGTTATTGATATATATGAACATATATTCAAGGAGCTTTACTAAAAGCTGCTTACAGAAAATAAAAAATAATAAAAATAACGCATGGCTCTCCTCTCACTGTCACCCTCGGCTCTTTCTGTTGCGGCGATTGTGGATCACATTCCAATCAGCGCCATTTCTTTCTTCCTTTTCGCAACGAAACATAAAAAAGTTCGCTTGTCGCGCCGCTTGTCTACCCTTAAGTACAATAACCGAAAGATTATATAACACGCTACCTGAATTAAACACATTAAACACTGGGCAGTTTATTTAAAAAAGAAAAACTGATTCGATCTGTAAGATAAGCGCGCAAAGACAGAATCGCCCCTCCGAGTCGGCACTCTCACCAATACACACACAACTTAAAGGCAGCATAATGCAACGGACGCGCTCACAACATCCACAGAGATCTCCCATATAGACAGACAAGATCCAACATCCAACACCATTCGTTTTCCAATGCTCACTCTTTACAAGCAGCTACAATCCACACATAACGGGACCAGAGTCGTTTAAGCAGCGAAGTGAATGAAATATGTTTCACGCTCACTCGCTCGCTCCTTGATTCACGGCTCTCTACACACTTTATGTACATTTAGATATATACATTTCCCTCTTCTTTTTCAAGAGTTAAATAAGAAATTAATAACAACTCTTAAGCTTTTATATTTCCAGTTGATTTTTGTTGTTTATTTATTGGTGTTTAAATACGAACCGCAATAAGGGTCTTATAAAACTGCAATAAAATTGTGGTGGAGTAGATAATAAAACTGAAAAGAAGGCGAAGAAAAAGAAACGACATGCTTTATCAACTAACTTATTCAATAAAACTTCGATTTCCCTTTGCGCTGCATTTGTTGTAGCTTAACAATTCAAACACCTCTTAGCATTATCCCTAGTCGCTCGCTCTCCCACTCATTCTCTCACTCTCAAACACTCTTTTCCATTTCTTTTTCGGGCCATTTTGCATAAACGGCAGGACAGATTATGCAACTGTCTGGGATTGTCAAGCGTCGAGTCGACAACACGCTGCACACTTTGCATATCCGGTAGAGAAAGAGAAAGAGAATGATGGAGGAAAAGAGAGGATGGGAGAGCGGGAACGCTAGCCCAGGGTGTGGAGGTCGATTTACAAATGCTTTTTGCCTCTTGCATTCGCCGTCAAATGCGCAGCGCTCAGATAAAAGGGAGAAGCGGAAAGTTTCTGGACTATTGTGGATGCCAAACGAAAAATCAAAGTGTCTAGCAATTGTGCCCGGGCACTTGGTGATGGCTGCATTCAAGCAGAAAGAGCGAGACCGAGAGAGCGTGAGCCAGACGATACAGTCAATTTCAATGTCTGCCTGAGCGCACACACACACACACACGAGCACATAAAACTCTGGTCACATAGACGGCGCCCACAGAGATTTCGGCGCTATGTTGACAGTTACAGTTACTCTGCTGCAGTGCTGCCAACTTGTGCTCTAATTTAATTAAAACTTTGTTGATCCCCGCCCACTTTAAAACAGAAGTCTATCAGTCGAACTGCTGCGTCATCTGAGATTCAAAAGTGGGCCAGCAAATCATTGTTTTGTATAGTCCAGAGCAAAAAGTTGGCAACTCAATTATGTATAATAAATAAATTTGCAATGTTTATAAGTTTGATGAAATTCACAAAATTTCTGTGATCCACAGGCAAATGAATAAAGTGAGCTTGTAAAGTAATGAACCAGTGAACTAGTGACCTATGTTACACTCAAGGAATTACTGTCAATGGGCATGTAGAGTGAAATCACTGCAAAAATAAATGAAGTAACATTTACCATTGAGTGATTATTTGAGCTCAATGCAAGCAAAAGAGAATACAAAAATAAACAGACAGTCAACGGAGTGCTGTTAAAATTAACATATTTACGCGAATGTTAAAAAAGAAGAACATGTGTAATTGAGTGTCATTCACAATTAAGTCACTCAATGCATGTTAGATGGTGCTATATTAATAAGTGCTTTCAACTGTTTTATACGGCATATAATATAATTACGCAATGTTAAGCGTATGTTATTCACTGCCTAAAGTACTCCCATTTCTGTTAACTTTTTGAATAGTTTAATCAGCGCATATATTTCTCATCTTTATGTCTCTAAAACGTCATCATCATCCAGATATAATTTTTATAATCACATCACAGCGTAATGTCTGCCAATTTAAAATACATTTCCGCAACATGGACGGGACACACGTAAGACTAACGTTACGTGTTCTTGATTATCTGCCGTGTGCTTAGCAGCGGATTAGCTTGCCAAAAACAGAGGCAAGCACTGCCAACAGACTCACTCAACATCCGCGTTGGCACGTGGCGAATTGGCAGCGTGCTCAACAAGTGGATGGTAGGTGTGTGATATGTGCATGTGTGTATGTGATAGGAAAGTGGAAGTCAAGCTAGCGACAGCCAAGCTGTGGGTCCAAGGGACTTCTACCAAATCTGTCGCCGGGTGGATTTTAATTCAATGTGCGTGTGTGTGCAAAACTTATCTGGATTAAGTAGCTAAAGAAAATCCGATAAAATTTACAAGTTTGCTTATAATTAAATTAAATTGATGCTTAGTATACCAGCTAAATTACAAATTTAAATATATCAAATTAAAGCTCACATTAAGTGAAAAATGTAAACTTTTTAGTTCATGTGTGCAGCTGCAATTCATGTAATTCCATGAGCACTTGGACTAGCAGATAACAAGCCGAAAGTGGACTATTGAATTGAGTGAAGCTAATTCACTCAATCCACTGCTTACACGCCATTGGTGCTTTTTGTTTGACTGGAACTAGTTGACTGCAGAGACTGAGCATAGTTGGATCTCGTCTCTTTTGGATGTTATGAGCGTGATTGAACTTGCATTAGGGTGGGTTTGGATTGGCGGAACGAATCAGTTTCTGCGCGTCTGTCTTGTTGATCACAGCTAGTCCTTGGGCGTGAAAAATTATTTTCTTCCGATTTTTAATAGATAAAAAATGCAACTAATTTATTTTTTCTGTGCATATGTTATTTAAATTTGCATGCATTATGCAAAACGGCAAGTGAATCAACAGAAGAAACATTGTAAGAATTTTATGTGTGATTGTATGAAAGGAAAAATGGCGCCAATTGAAATATAATCCACAATCTTCGTAAAGAGAAAGAGAGAGAGAGAGAGTAGCAAAGAGAACGATTCTTTAACATTTAAGAGATTTATTCTGATGAGTTTTAATATAGTTTCAAAGCGAATTTTAAAGCATATATAGTATAGTTGTAGCACCATCTCAATTTTAGATATGTTTGCTATGGGCCGCTAACGCCATTGAAAATGTTGCACCTCTGCGTAGCGTCGATTCAGTTCATTTTTGCGATCCACCTCGCCGCCCACACCTCGCAGCAGTTCGTCGCGTTGCCAGTTGCGATAGACGGCCGAGTCATGGAGCTTGTCATCCCTGTCCAAAGCCTGCTGCTGCCACCATTTCAGATTGACAGCTGGCGTCTGCATCGGAATGACGGAAATGACCTGCGGATGACGACGCGGCCAGAGGCCCAGCTTGGCCAATCGCTTCTGCTCATCAATGTCTGTGTCCTCGGGTGTGCCCAGCACACGCAGCTGCTGTACCTCGCCTCGCGAACGCCTCATGGCCACTGGATTAAAGGGATCCTCGCCGTAGAGCTGACGATATTTGTTGCTTCTCACCAGATTTATGATCTGGAACAGAGCAATGCACGTGACGCAGTTATAGCCCGCGAAAACTGTGCAATAAGGAGCAATTATTGATGAGTCCAACAGGAACCTCGTCTCACTTACGACAATAGAAGCTGCCCACCAGGGTGAGCACAATGAGCAGACCCAAGTTGATCTGCTTCTTCAGCACAATCATCAAGACAATGTGACTGATTGTGATGCTCAGAAAATAGACGAATTCCAAGAAAGCCAATGGCAGCAACAACCATTTGTGAAGCTGTGGATTATTAAACGGATTATACAGGATTAAAGCTTAACTCAGCTTAAAAAGACTTTTGGATAAGCACAATGAAGTTTAATTTTGATTTTAAATAAAACTATTATTGTTAAAATGTTTTTGGGTTAAATGTTAAAATAAATACAAATGCTTTTTAAGTAAGCTTAGACATCCTCCCCTTTTGTCAAATTAGACTTTTTCTCTGCCTTTCAGCTATTGTATTACGGTTATTTCATTATTTTTGAAACATTCTTACATTTTAGATTCTAACATATGGTACTGCTTAACTAATAGGTTTGAATTTTTAACTCTTCAGCGAAAACGGCGATTTGAATAATATAAATTTTATTACATAACGAGTTTGATCAGTTATGATGAAGAAAAGTTTCTGATTTGTAAATTTTAATTTCATATGATTTATATTAAATTTTTCATATAACCCATAAACAAAAAAATTTTACAAAATATAATAAGTACAACATAAATTAAGAAGTAAAATAAATACTTAATAATAATAAAACATTTCAAAAATTAAGAAATAAAAAAAGTTAATAAAGAAATTAAAAATATTTGAGAAAACTATTTTTTTACTATTTTTTATTTGCTTTTTTTATAGTTATTATTAATATCAAGTATAGGCCTTGTTAACAAATTTAAATTGTTGACCAACTATTAAGGCCTTAGAATAGAGAACGAACATGTCTCTGTCAATAAACTTAGTCTCACTGCAGCTCTTCGTTCTCTACTCGCTAACGCAGTATGACCGCTAATCGATCAAATTAACATTTTATTAGCTAATCAAGCTGTTTCACAATTTTGGAAATAATATAATATCATATTTATTTTATTCACTTCTTTTAAGCGAGCAGCTTTAGCTTGTGAAGAACTAAATAGAAGTGAAGGATTAGTTCACATTACCTTTAATTGATCAGTGGATTAACTTTCACTTAAACAAAGTAAATTATACTGCCTTAAAGTAAGTATTGCTTAGAAATATATTTCTAAAATAATTATATATTTTTTTAAATTTTTATTTATATTATAATATTTTTTATAATTCTCACCCTCCAAGCTCCGACGATGCCCAAAATGGCGCAGGCTATGCGAACGTAGCACATGACTTGCAGAAATATCATAACCTTATCGGGTGCTGAAATGTTTTATGAATAATTATAAAATAATATTATTATGAATAAGGGAAAAACAGTCAAAGTTGTTGACTTTGAGTTATTTGAGTTTGATCTGTGAAAGCAAGTTTTTGCATGAAACTAAATTTGTCCTGAAATATTTAAATTAATATTAATATTGTCGAAATGTAGCCTGAAATATAAAAATTTAGAACTTGCTTCGGATTTTGGGTTTCCATTAATGTATCATACATCGAGACGAATACATTGCTTACTCTGATAAAGGAATTCGCGATATATTGGAAGCATTAATTATAAGTAACAGGCAGAAGAAGGCGTGCAGGTTACTATGACATAACGGCTGCTTATTTTGTAGGCTCACAACTTTGAGCTGGAAACTAAAATTTATTTGACAAGCCTTTTAATAGCTGATAGTTGCTTTTTGTGGAGTTTGATTCGACATTTCGTTTTGAATAGACATCACAGCAAATTGTATTAGATAGAGGGTAGTCAGTAGTAGTAGTAGTAGTATCAAAAGCAGCGAAATGGTTTGTATTCATAAGAACAGACGGAAGGCCGAATGGACTATTCCAGATCGAGTCAACTCTTCAACCAGATTAAGAATATATAGCCATTAAGGGTTCTGCCACGCCTCCTTCTGCCTGTTACATGCATTAAACATTAGCTTTATTCTTGGCATTTGATAGTTCTAAGAGTTTGATTCATAGCAAAACTTGAGTTAAGTCTTTCAATTTCATCAAGTTCACCCGAGGCATACTCACAGTCATGAATCCAGTTAATGAGTTTTCGCACGACGCTGCTCGTTTTGTACTGTGAGTCATTTTCCAGCAAATCGATAAGTTCGTCGAACAGATGGATGCCTCGCACGAAGAATACGGTGCTCAGCGTTATAGACAGGATCTGCGGAAGACGATTTGAATCTTCCAGTTTCAAGGAGATGTTGGGAAAGCTGCACTTACAATGCTCAATACCCCGACACTCATAACTCCCAGGCGCACGGAGCAGTAGCACAAATAGCTTTCCATAAACAACATATTCAGTTTTATTTTTATTATTAACTTGAATCGCTGGCCATATTTCAGGCAGACAACTAACTGGCCCAGCTCTGGCCCTCCGAATGGGCCGTCAGCCAAAGTTCCCATGGACAGAAAATCGAACAGACAATAGACTAGACAAATGACAAAACCTTGTTCCAGCCGTAGAGAGATGCCTATCTGCATATTTTACTATTTGTGTTCATTATGTTCATAATGCAATGCGAATGGTTCCAATATTTCATTCACCTGCCGCACGTCATGGAGTTCACTAGCAAGTCCAAAGGCCGCTTGACTAGCGATTCCCAGTCGCCTTCCAATATGCTGCTTATGAAGTCCTATCTGTTCTGTGCCTCAGTGCGTTTGGGTGTTATCGCAATCAGCATGTTCGCCTTGGTTTGTTGATTTTTTTACAGGCAAAAGTGTTTCAGCATTAAAAAATGGAATGAAAGTACAGTAGTTACTAGACAATGAGTACCTGTTCATTTCAGCATTCACTCACACTTAGAGATTACAATTCTTATTGGATTCTAAAACCTAATCATTTATTTAAAAAAAATTAATCATAAAAAAATGTTTTAAAAACAATTATTAACCATAAATCTAATTTAATGAACCCAACAAAAAATATAATAAATTATAAATATTACGAATATCAACAAATATAAATTTTCAGATTTTAAAATATTTTTATTAAGCAAACGCTTAACACATTATGAATTTAAAATATTTCTAAGATTTAAAAAAAAAAAATAATTTTCATTACAAAACAATATTTTTTATTAATTTTTCAAATATTAGCTATACATATCAAATTAAAAGCTTTGAGCAGTAATATTTTATTCTAAAAATCTTGACTTTAACGATTATTGTATTTTTTTAATTAATACCAAATACCAATTAAAAAGTATTGAAATAAGCTTTTTTAATGCCATTTAAATTAAGATAATATTTTATTTTTAATAAAAATATAAATAATTTTCAAAACAAACAGAAATTGAATATTTATAATTTTTTGTTCTAGTTTTCAAACATTATTTAAATACATCACATTTCACTGATGATACTTTTTGTTTAATATCATTATTTTGTTCTCATATCGTTTGACTACTTTATAATATTTTTTTATTACTTCTTCGGCTTATCTTTATTTTTGGGCTAAGTTTCCGATTTATTTATTTTAGCTTACTGTCATTATATCATCAATTTAAAAAATAATGCTTTATCAAGCTTTAAAAACTCTTTGTTTTTAAGTCTTTTATTATTTTTTAAGTCCTATCTTTTCGATTTTCAAATGTAAAAAATATATTCTGAATAATTTCTATATATTTTTATTCTAAAAAAATATTGGTAATATTTTCTATATATATATTTTCTTAATATTTTATATTTAATATAGTTTTATGAATTATTTATACATGTTCCAAATATTATAAATCCTTTTAAAACAAAAAAATTTAATAAACTAGATTTATATTTTTATATATTTATATATATTTATATTTATATATATTTTTCATATTTTAGATCTAATTTAAAAAAATATTCTTAAAATTTTATTTTATTACATGTTATTTAATTTTAAAATCTATTCATATTATTTTCTACACATTTTGTATGTCTTACAGCTAAAATCCCTTTTACTTATGTTTGTTTTCACTACACAAGGATTAAATTTTATGTTATCGCTGATTTCTAATTATGATGGTAATTTGAGCTATCGAGCCAGCTACTATTTGGTGCGAGATGCGATATATTTTTTGGAGCAGTGTAAGTATTGTGAATTGTGTATTAAAATTATGTAATAATTTATAATTATGTATAAATCTGAAAAAAACTGAGCAATTCTTAAATTTAGTCCATATAAAAAAAGTTATACCTGGTATTCTTTCATATTATATTTATATTTTTATTTGCTTAGATCCAGAAATAGCAACTTCTTTTCTTCAGCTCTATAGCATTTGTCATGCAATTTCATGTGTTGCTGCCGCATATGGCGCTTATAAGGTAAGTTTTTACTTGCAAAATATCTTTAACTCTTTGACTTTCTTCTATGCTTCTCTGTTCAGCTTAAACGTTTCTTTGTTCTACCCTTGGCCTTCTTCGAATTCGTTTTTATCGTGGAAATCTTTACAATATCCATATTATTTCTTCGTATCATTAGGCATTTCGTTAGTCTGGAAAAGTTAATAGTGCTGAGTGTTGTGGGAGCTGGCTACACAAGTGCGTATTCTCTATTTCGTTCTTCTATATCTTCTGCTTATCCACATTGTATATATTATAGTTCTTGTTGTGTATGACTTCTTCGCTTTGCTTGCCTTTGAGCAAATTATGGGACTTGTGGGAAGTAAACGATATCAACAGCTTTATGGCTCGGATCCATTTAATCCCAGACGTAATGCCAACTCAGTGAAGTATCCAAATAGTATTAATGTCATATTTAATGCGGATAAATATGTACCCAAATGGTGGGAATTGAACGGAAGGAAGCCTATTTCTGATGATGAAAATATTGCATCTGCATATGCCGATGCTCATAAATATTTTCAAAATCGTGAGCTGATGTCTGATGTATTACTTCACAATGTTATTAACAGATTTTAGCAATATTTATATATTTCAAAACTGATGTAGTTTGGTAGTGCATGAAATATATAATAAAAAAATAGTGTATAAAAATATGTAAAGATACGATTTATTTTCGACCGGCCAAATTAAATTTTATATTAGTAAGTTTAAGTTAGACGGATAAATTCTCCAATATAATTTTCTTCTTATAGCGCCATCTAGTATTTAAAACGCGCAAGCTCTCGTTCTTACCGCCACCTAGCACTTAAAACGCGCGAACTCTCTTTCATAGCGCCATCTAGCATTACGCGCCACATGTTTTATATTGCCATCTAGCATTAATTATGCACAAGCTCGATGCGCTAAATGCTTGCCAGCAGTGTTGCCAGACTGTGTCAAATAAGAGGTGGATTCAAGAATTCAATAAGATAACTGAAAAAAATAATAGAAATACTTATTCTGTGTTTTTTTTTATATACCAAAAACATTGAGTTGGCTTTATTTGACTATATCATTGTTGAATTGTTGAACTATTGAATTGTTGAACTTTTTATAGAAATTCTATTCAAATTGTCATTGTTATTAAAAATATATTGCATTATGTTAGAAATACATTTTAATTCTTATTAAATTATTATATTAAAAGAAAACAAATCATTGTAGTATGTTAGTACAATGTTTTTTATACTTTGGAAATGAAAAACATTTTTATTTTATATTTTAATTATTTTTAAAAATAATTATTTAAGAACCGTTTTAATTACAGCAACAATAGAAAATTTATATACAAAATATTTTCAATAGAATAACGCTTATATCAAATTTTAAAATGGGATTTTAAATTCGTTTTCAGATCAGATTGCATAACATATATATGTACATGCATATTTCTTTTAATTTCAAATTATTTTTTAATTCAATTTTTTGTTTTATTTTTTCTGTATTTAATTTGATTTTCCCTTTACTACCACTGCCAAACTTGAACATTTCAATCTATTTACAGTCTAAATTACACATTAGCTTAAACTATAGATAAATAACTTTCGATAACAGTTCTTGCAGTGCTTTTATTACGATGACTCACAGTTTATTTGCTAAGGGCAGTCTCTTCTGTTATCTTAGCTCAATTTAAAATCTATAAGAAATGTTATATCACTTGACTGCCTGGCTATCGTATGTCTAGATGTATCACTAAGATCACGTCACGCATTTCTTGTTGTGGCCGAAGAGCACGCGATACTCGGGCTCGATTTTCTTCCTAATATATTTGGTCATTTCTCGTGCGTATCTGACACGCTGCGCGCTACGTGTAGAATTTTTAATACCAGGACTGTGGACCAGGAAGGCGGGATGCAGCACATGATACTCATAGCCTAGTAGGCACATAGCATAGCCCTGCAAATGAAATAGGAGAGATTATAACTTCTCAATATAATAAACGTATATATCGATATATCGATCAAATTAGTTCATTCAATGGTCATGTCAAGTTTATGGGGCATATCTCTAAACTAACTAATCTAGAAATAATGAAAATACTATTGATCAGATATTAATGTAAGCTTTATAAGCAATTTGATTTTATTGATTAATGTTATCGATAACTACAAACTACTTGAAATAATACAAAACTTGGCTTCTAACAGATTAGATGGTCTTGTGTTTTGCCTCACTTCCAGTGATCGTGCGTATACTAACACTTACACACACACACCTACATAAACACACTCTCTCTTATGGACTCTGCTATCATGCCTAGAACAGAGTTGAAAAGCATATCTTACATAAGCTAATGTTTTAGTAATGAAACACAAGCTGAATTTACAATTAGATGGTTTTAGATATCCTTCTTAATTCCTAATAACTTAACACTCACCTGTATGCGTTTATTGGACTGTCCCTCCCAGGTGACGCGTTCATCGAATATCGGCTCCGTGTTATCGCTGATGTAGAAGGGCTCCCAGTGTCTGAACTTTTCCTGTCTAAGGGTCATGCTGAACAGTTCAAGTTCGTTTGTGATGCGGGTCGTGTGATTGATCCAATTCTGGTAGCCAGGCACCTTATGGCAAGTCTCGCAGACTCTCGCATGAAAGAGCTGAGCTCGACCCCTCTGCAAGAGCGCCAACAATTCTAATTTATCGTCGGGCACACGCTCCTTCTCCTGTATCTCGAAGACCGGTAAGGGGTAGACTCGTGGCCGCTGATTCGGACCCAGGGCCAAGACACTTTTATTCTGATGCACCATGTCCAAGAACTGCTCGATCAGCCCCAAACTTGGATAGAGCTCGATGTCGCAGGCTAATATAAAGTGCGTGTTGACAGCTCTGCGAGCAATGTTCCGACCCACGTTGATGGGGTACGTCAAATTGGCTTGCACCTTGTACATGGTGGCGCGGTTCTGCAGGTAGGGCGGGGCCAATAGACTGCCATTACCATCCACGCACTGAAAAGGCCAATTCAAGGCCTCGTCCTCATCGAGCGGCACATACTCGGGCATATGCTCATTGGAGAAGTAAATGTGAAAGCTAACGAAGTCACTGATCAGCTCGCTGCCAGGCAAACAGTTTCTCACATATTGAATGGCATCCAGTGTGGAGTTCAGATCATAGCCAGGTGTGTGTATGGCAAAGCTAATTGGTCCTAACCAGCTGTAAAGAGTTTGATTAAACTTGGTATTGCAAACAAGTTGGCTGATATAATAGGAAACATATTGAAATTTGCTCAGACTCTCATTAAAATATAATGATTCAGAATTGTAAGCTTTTACCTTGATTAAACTTTCTACAAAAATAAGGAAATGTTCAAATTAACAATTCGCATTTTTAAAAATTGTTGGATATAACTAAAACCTTATAGCTTTTGCTTTTCTTTGAGCTATTTTATAACCTTTAAAATATCTCGAAAATTAAGAACAATTTTCGACTCATATACAGAAAGAGTCGGAAGCTTTTCATACACTTAAAAGTCCGAATTGCGTATTTCAACAACTTGAATTAAAAACTGTTAAATTGAACTTTAAGCTAATTAAAAAAAAAGAAACTTATTGAATTGGAAAATATTGAAAGTTTTCGATATAATAAACGCTATATTGCATAATGTTTTTATACACTTGTACTTACAATAACAAACAAAATTACGAAGTCTTCAAATAACATTTTAACAGCTCTTCTTTATCCCATACTATTTAATTGGTTATTTTTAAAAGTTTGAATTTATATAATAAGAAAAAAATAAGAGCATTCTTAAGAATTTTATAAGATTTTTTTAAAATCAGAATTATAGTTTTGGTATCAAATTCGCTTTGGCATATACATATACATATAGAACTGATTAAAATGTTATTCAACAATTCATTTCCCATTGTGATGCCCATGCTCCAGCCCAAGCAGTAAGCAGAGCACTTGTTTGTGTAGGTGTGTATGTGTGTGCTGCTTCTAAAGTAATTATTGAAATATACGCGATTCGCAGGGTTCAGTGTATCTCTAAGTGGAGCCGGCTCGCCTAGACCTTTCTTAATAGTTTTAAATGCTATAATTCGAAATCATACATCAAAATTGGGTATTTATAAAATAATTTTAAAAGCTGTTCAGCTTCATCTCATGTTATAAATAATTTTAAAAGCTCTTCAGCTTCATCTCATGTTATTTAAATTGGAATGTTATCACAAACTGCAAATGGCTCACAAAATTAAAAAAGAATTTGAGTAGAATTTGTAGATTAAATAGTAATTATAAAATAACTAATTCCATATATATATATTTTATAAAATAATATTGTCATAAGCTTAATATCATCTCATATCAGTAATAGTTGACAATGAGAATTTTACATTGGGTAAGAATAAGGTACGGTCTAGCCGCGAAGATTCGACTTATAGATACCCTGTACCCTGCTCAAAGCTGCTGTCTTAATAATTCTATGTTTCTTACAAATTTACATACACGTGCATACACGTATACATCGTACACATACATACGTCCAACAAGGCATGCGCAGCGCCCACTGCTGGAGCTGCACTATGGCAAATTAGTTGTTGAATAACTTCTAGAAGTTCGGTTCTACTTATACTATCTTAGTGAAATGAAATGAAATCAAAATAACAGAGCGTGATTCTGACATCCTCATATTTATACAAGCAAAGTCTCTGTAACTTGTAAAGAAGATAGTTCTAAAAATATCAATTTAATTACGATTTATAAAACCTTTATTAATCGACTCCTGTTATTGCTTGAAAAGCAAATCAACATATATATATATGTATTGATTTTAAGGAAATTGTATGAAACAAACATATATACGTTATATATATAAATATTTAAACATATATATATTTGAAGTCTGAAGTCTTTAGTTGTTTTAGCCTATAAAATTGCTTGTTCATATTGGCAAACTATTAAAGATACGAACATGATTAGATCGTTTATATTTTGTGAATTCGGCCACGCCTCCGTCTGCCATTTGTAGACAAGCATTAAAACATTTTCTATTTGATTTAGACTATAAAAGCGTTATCAAACTCTTTTCAAACGATCATAACTTTGAAATTAGAACTCAATTATGTGATAAAAATCATTTTAGGAACCTTTCAGACTTATCTCTCTCTCATATTCCAATAATTACAATTTATTTCAATTTAATGACCTATTGAAATTACCTCGATAATGTTAAAAATCTTATTAATATTGCTGGCTGATTGTTAATTTGAGATTTTTCGGCATTCAATTTATTTGGGCAAATTAATTTATTGTCTTCAATTTTGATACTAATTGGAATTATATCGGAATTGGTACTGATAAAAATCTGAGTATTTTCAAGTTCTATGTCCCCAGATCCAAATGGCCAACATAATTTTCTAATTATTGTGCAATTTACAAAGTCCGGCTATAAAAATTCTGATCCCGATTATTTCTTCGTTTTATCGAATATCTAACAACATTTTTTAAAAGCCGGCCATATGAGTGCAATTGAAACTATTCCTATTTTACTCAAATTAGCAAACCAAAAGAAATTTAAGATATTCGAATACATCCTAGCTGCATCTATCAATCAAAGAACCTCGATATTTATTGAAATATATAAAAAATATTTTATATATAACATATATGCTTAAGCGTAACAGCTTCAAGCTTTTAATATCTTTTACTTAACATTTTATCTAATATATCGACCCACTAGATACTAAATCTTCTACAATTTGAGAACTGTTACTGTAGCGTAGAACAAATACTCAATGATATTATGATGAAATCAGCTATATAAGCAGAAATTATAAAAAAACTCGTGTAAAGTAAAGATTAAAATTCAATCGAGACAAACTGGAATTGGGGTCAGTGCGATAAGAGGCTAAGCAAGAACTGCATAATACTCATTCCCAGTGTAAACGCCGTCAGCTCGAAAATTGTTTTACATTTTGGTATATCAATAATGTAGGTCAACAGTAATCTGCTCGTTAAATTTTGAGTTTTTAACTAAAAAATATTAGAATATACAATTTTAACCGATCTGCCACGCCTCCAGTAAACGTGGACGTATAATTTGGCAGTCCTTAGAAGTCTCGTAGCTTGAGGCTAAGATTCCGAAACTGTATAAATTACAGGGTATTTCCTCAAGCCACGCCCACAAAGGGAAGAAGAACATATATAGATTAGTGACGTTTTCACACACCCCCTATGGGCGTTGGCCCGTCCACAATATATTTCTAATCTTCGGTTATCAACGCAACAATAAATGTTGCAAATTTCAGGTGCGTAGCGATTAAACTAATAGCGTTTCCGAAATATCAGGCGAGGGTGCATCCGATTATGTAATACAAATTTCAAGTCTCAACAGCGGTAACATGGATGGACAGACGGATGGACGGACGGACAGCAAGACGGGCATTGTCCACATTTAATATATTATTTCACTTCCTTAATGCTTGTACATGAATGTCAGGCATGTTCCCGTCGTGAAGGTTGTGGAGCATTACTCACCGATCGGTAACTGTTTCGAGATTATCGAAGAACGTATAATCTCCGTTTGTGGTGTATGTAATGGATTCGGCACAGGCCATGTGACGACTGAGCCGGCCGATAACCAAGTTCTGCACTACCCAATATTTGCCATTCTGAACTTTCTGTAGTCGCAGACGGCGATTGCGACACTTGAGCAGTTCTTGAAGTTCCTGAGAGCGTGGCGATAACCACAAAGTCTCCTCAGTGCTGGGCACAAACAGCTTGGTCACTGCAGCAGCCTTTGACTGGACGTGATGGACGGCCTGTTGCCTGGTCAAGGCAATTGACAATTGTGCTGTCTCCTTCAAATTTAGCAGCACTAGGAATATGACAATCGCGAGGATTAGGCAAAGAAATAGGCTACGTTTACTGATCGGACTAGCCATGGATGTAGATCCTTTTGGGGGTTAGTCTAAAACACAATGCTGGAAACGCGCGTCAAACTCGAATGCACAAAAATTACAGCGATATCATTTGTTATTACACAAACATATATATAAATATATACATATATTATTGAAACTTTACACTTTTTTTCGAAAGATCTTCCATTACCAGCTGAACACTGTGTGCCAAGTACGTGCCTAACCCGAAACCGAGCTGATAATTGGCCAAAAAAGTATTATTTGGCTATAGTTTAGCTGCTTTAGTTGGGTTTTTTTGGTTTGCCTTTGATAAGATTTTATTGGATTAATAATATATAAATAACAAAGCCAATAACCGACTAGCTGACGTTTCACTTCGTTGAAAGACCTCTCTATAATGACCGTCAGCGTCAAGTGAAAAATGCGAACTGTGGGCGCCAACGAATATACTGACTTCATATGAGAGACCCGAGCGAGGATTGTGATAAGAGCATAGTGACGATTGTAATTTTTACGAAAGTCCTAATCTACATTGTGTATTAGCCATCAGCCATTGTAGTTATACGTATAATTCTCTTTTGCGAGTCTGTAGTTTTTTATCGGCATGAGTAGAGGGGCCAAAAGAATGCATCATAATAATTGAAGTTCTTTATCTCTGATAAGCTTTATCTGATGTCTACTGTTTGATGTACGTATTCCTTAAGTGTTTCGGTGAAAACTAATTTAACTAATTTAACTAATTTATTAAGCGCATAGTAGCTGTCATATATAGTTAACTATATGTTGTTTTATTTTTTAAATTCAATTTCATTGAAATCACTTTCTGAAACAATAAGATTATTTTCAAGTAGTATCTTTTGCTTTATATAACTTTTACTGTTCGACTTAGTCATTCCGATTAGATTATTCTGATTAGATAATTAGAGTTAAAAAGAAACTAATTTAATAATAACAAAGAGCGATATGTTGCTAATCGAAAACCAAAAACATTGATATATTATTCATTGTATCTGACTAATATGACTCTGCGGTTTTAATAATCGTCAGAGATTTGTCATACATAGAAATACTTAATGTCTGTTCGATAAGAATCGATCTATCGATAAATAACTCAATTATTCTTTTTTCCTGACAACTTTCTAAATTTTGTTTATTATTTGTAAACTCATTAAGCGTTTACATTGGCATATATAATAAATTTATTTGGCTTATCGATGAACAACAAATTTATATATTTTATATTTTATATTATTTATAATTTTATTGACAAACTTACTTATTTTATATTTGCTTTCCTTCTTATCGATACGTGATAATGTATCGCTAACATTTTAATTTGTATTTTCTTTTATTATACTGAACCCCCTTTTTCTGGCTATTGAATGAACTTACAAGGCGTAAGTTAGTTAGCATATAAGTAAATATGTAATATATATGCTATTGATCAAAAGTAGAAAATCGATCATTTTCAAAATGATCTTTTATAATATTTGGCTGAAACCACTTTCTCAAATTGTCATAATATGATAATATGATAACAGCTAAATGTGGATTATCGATAAGCCAGAACATCATATGATTAGCTTTATTTGACTTCTAGTACTCCAAGTAGACGTTCTTCTCAGTGTTACTACGAAACAAATTGATTAAGCAGACGGCAATTTGTCACATAGAACAGCTTAATGTGGCTTATTGATAAACAATTACGTGTCAACAATTTTGATATGATTAGTTTTATCTGATTTAATTTTCAATGTTAACATTTTACTTAGCCTCGCAACAAATTGATTAACCGAAGTAATTTGTAACATATCAGACCCTTATCGATAACCAGTAACAGATCGACTTCTTCTGTTTGATGTTCACATTCCTTATAAGTGTTAGGGCAAAGCTAATTGATAAGACGCCACAAGAATTCTCAGATATGTGGTCTATCGATAAATAACATTAGATTAAAATCTTCTTGTAATGTTCTCGACATTTTTATGTTGGTTTAATAGTTTATATTCTGTACATTGTTTTTGGGGGACTAGACTATACGGTTGCGATAAGTTAAAAGATAAACTACAATCTTCAATATTTTTATGGAGCGACGGGCATTCGACGGACTTAACTTCCGTTGTTGTTTGATAAATCTAGAAATAAAATCTCAAGTGCCAATCAAATACAAAACAGCTGGTTTCGTGACTATATTCGTGGAAGTATGAAAAGTATGAAATGAAAGAAATGGCAAGTAGAATTTATAAACTAAGTTTGAGGTGTTATATATAATTCTTCTATAAGTATAATTATTATTTCGTCTTCAAAGTACTTGCAAAGTGCAGCACTTATGCCAACTGAGATCTCTAGATTCAAATAGTCCTTTTCCAGAATAGGTTTCTTCAATTTCTTTCGTCTCAATTAATTTAACAAAAGTCCAAAAATCTAGATTTGTTGACCAACATTTCTAGTGTTTGTGGCTCGTAAATCTCATTTTAAATGGTATTGGCCAATACATTTGATAAGGCAAGGTGAGCTCATCAGTTGATGTGGATGGTCTCCACCTTGCTTAATAGATTCAAGGCCTTTTGCACCTTCTTTGGTAATTTTGAAATTTCATTGTTTTTTAAATTTTATCAAAAGCCTCCTTAAATATTAATTTAATTTAATTTAAGCATAGAACATCTGATTCTACTACTGTGATCAAAGTTCTTTAGACATTTATAAAGTTTATAAAAGTTTTTGAAATTGAACTTTATTGAGAATTTTATAAAGTTTTGGCTTAATTAACTTGAGATACGGATTATCTAGAGCAATGCTGCCTCTTCATTTGTAAGCCGAAGTTAGCTTACCGATTCAGCAGTGAAAGTCGATATTTTATACTTTTATTGAATGTACATTCAATATGAACTGATTATAAGCAATATCTGAGGTCTGTCGTTTGTATAACCCAAAATGTGGCAAATGTTTTCTACCTAAACGTTGGTTTTTATTTATTAAAACTTCCACTCATAATTGCGGAAAACGTTTGAAAATGTACATCCGCAATTTATATATATATAGGTCTGTAAATTTACAAAATTCCAAACTGCCATAAAAGCCACCGAGTTGCCTGAGTTGTGGATAGACCAATAGATAGGTGGCAGCAGTGAACAAGTGAATAAATATATAAACAACTAAAGTGCTTTAAGATATGAAGAAATATCATTGGCACACAGAAGGCAGAAACATCTTCAGCGAGTGAACAAGAACACAGATAATGAAAGTGCTTTAAAATATGAACAACTAATTTTGCTACTCGTATTGCTATTCATTTGCCAGGCCGTTGAAGTTGGTCATATAGTTGGCAAATATAAATATCTGTAAATATTACGTATACAATTACAATTTATATTTTAAATATTGGCAATGGATATCGCCACAAATTGAAAGATGTTTAGTGACTCTTAAACAACGATTAAGACTAGTCATTGTGCGACCTCTAGATAATGCCCGTCTGCGCTCTTTCCAATAGTTGATTCAATGCCACAGGCTGCCAATTCGTAAAGCTGATATCGCTCAACATGCAAACGTTGCGATCGATATAGCAAAACAGTTTTCCCACGCGGTAGATCTGAAAAGCAGAAAATAAGAACAAATGAATACATCATTAAATAAACAAAATTAAAAATTATACTATTTAATAAGTAATAATAAGTAAAATACAAATGAAACATGAAATTGTAATAAACCATATTAGCAAGTGACGTATAAATCTAATTGGAATAGCCATCCACAATCCCAATTCGAATCCATTAGCAGAATATCGAAAGTAAAGCTTCGTATGTAAAATTGTATGAATTTCTGATTACAATCCGAATTCATTTGTTGTTTACATTTCAAATTCGTCGAATCCGATTAAAGCTAGCACAAGCTAAGAAAAAAATCTTGAAGTCAGTTTCGAGCTCAATTTCAAATTTGGAATAAACTGATTTGAGTTAAAAAATACTTAAACTAAGCTAATAGAGTCTTAAGGAGTTTATTTTAAAATAAGGAGTTTTGAGTAATTCGAATTAGATAAGCAAATTAACTAATCGACAATTTGAATTTCGGAGTTGTAAGTAATTCTAAATGGATCAGTATGATCATGGTGCTATCCATTGAAATGCATGACCTCAGAGCAGTAATAGAGCTTAGCGCTATTGGAATAAAAGTAGATACAATACGATATCTGTATATAATAAAATATAGATTCAACTGAGTGTTCTAAATTTAACCTAATTCTGGGAGGTTTACACCATCAATCGAACGGAATTCGACTCGCCGCAACTCACCTGTTTGCCCAGTTCCCGTCGTCCGGGCAGTGGCGCAAAGATGATGCCCAGCTCCGCGCATTTCTGCGAGACGAGCTCTTTGAACTCCAGCTGAGCTGGTTGCACCACATCGACAAGCATCACAGGAGTTAGCAAGACAGCAGCAGGCGCCGGTGGCATTGGCGGTGGCGGGGCAGATGTGGGCTGCAGCACGGCATCCGTGGCACGATGCAGCATGTCCAAAGCGCGGCGCAGATGCTCCTTAATGCATGGCTCACGCAGAATCGGTTCGCTCAGCATGCTCTTCCAGCCGGCATACCAGCGCGAAATTTCCGCAAAGTCTGGCGACTGGTTGAGCCAAATAACCAGCACTTGCATCCAGCGTGGAAAGAAATGCTTGTCCAGCAACTGGGCCATATGGTGGGCGGGTATAAGCTCGTGCCACTCCCACACCTGATGCCACAACTCCAGATTCTGCTGTAGCGGATTGATGACAAACTCCGCAAGCACCGCTTGCAGCTTGGGTATGATGTAGCGCAGCAGAAACTGCACGAGCTGCTCCTCAGGAAACGCTGACTGCCACGGCGTCAGCATGGCACGCGCTGAGCGATCCTGCGGTGACCAGGCTTGCAGTGCCACGCCTAGTTTGCTACGTATCTGCGGATAAATGGACTCCTCCAGCTTGGCGCCCAGTATGCCATGCCAGGGCAAAATCCAGCTGTGTATGGGCACAGTATCGGTCAGTGGATCCCAGTCGCGTACGCCGGCCGTCAGGCGTGGCAGCACCAATTGCTCCAGCACCGAATCCAATACCCAGGTTGGTAGCAGTGGCGCCCAAGCATCGAGCAGGGCTGCCATTGGGGCATGCTCCTTCGGCTGCCAGTTGGCAGCGCAGGTTCTAAATGAGGGCATAACGCCTGCCCAGATGAGCGAGGAGTACGGATCGAAAACGTTCCGTGATTGCTGTTCCGTCACCTCGGACTCATCCTTTTGTAGTATGCCACGCCAGCGCTTGATCAGCTGCACCGGCTGTGCGGGCTGTTCAAGGGGCTGCCAATCGTTTAGTTCGCGCTTCAATAGCGGTGCAATGACGCCCGCTGCCAGGTCGGCCAGCCCAAATTCCTTGTACTCGGCTGCATAGTCATGTTGTAGCTCTAGGAATAGGCGCTCCGCTTGACCGAGACTTAGCTCAGGGTTCTCACTAAGCTGTTCGAGGCGAAGCAATGCCGCCTCCAGCGTGTTCATGTGATTGCGCTCAAGCTGAACCAACTCCAGCAGCTGCTTCTGTTCGTGCATCAGCGCGGCCTGTCGATCAGCGCATTCGCGCTCCTCCTTGTCTATCGCTATGATATCCTGCTCGCATTGGCTTACGAGCAGCTGTAGATTGTGTGTCAGCTCCGGCATACTAAACACGGAGACTGGCGTGGGCTTCTCAGCACTCTCGTCAGCAGCCTGTGCATCATACAGCGTTTCCTCGGGAGTAATTTTGTTCTGAGCTAAGGCGTGATAGCCGCTAAGCACGCGACGCTCCGGTCCCGTCATGTCTATAACTGGAACATTACCCAGGCGCTTACTGAGCTTTTCAGAGAGCAAATGATCAGATTTCTTGCCCTTAGCAATAACCTCCTCCACGGACTTGTAGTAGTAGCGTTTGCTATTCTTTTCTCGTGTTTCGCCGCCGCCTTTCTTCCATTTGTTGAGTTGTTCCTTGAACTCTTTGGCCTCCTTGATATCCTCGTCTATCTTCAGCGGCTTGACCTGGCCGCCCACGCTAGCTGCCGTCTCAGGACCATAGGCACCAATGGCACCGCGTCCTTTACGAACGTGCGCTTGCACCGGCTGCGAGATGCCCTGCAAATCCTTGCCTAGACCCTTTCCGGGCTCGTAACCCATTTGCAGCAGAAGTTTAGCGCCTATACCGCGTGTATGCTGCTCCCAGGCACCCACATTCCTATTGCTCGCTATGTGCGAATTGTGTCGCAGCCCTGCTGTGCTATTCGATGACATTGTCGGGCGATGCGGCTGCTCCTCTTGCCCTGCCGAGCTATCAGAACTGTTGGCATCACTGTTGTCCATCAACTGTGCTTGTTTGCGTCCAAATGAGGGTCGCGCCTCGTCGCTGTCATCCGCTTCGCTGTCCTCCTCATCGCTGCCTGCGTTCTCATCTAGCAGCTGCTTCTTCTTCTGCTTTTTACCGGCTTGTTGAATGCCGCCGGCAACGAAATTCACTGGTGCAGTATAATCTTTGGGCTTGTTGGTGGAGCCGCCGCCCAAACCACGCCTGCCACGTCGACCGCTGCTTTCGCCTTCGCCTTCATTATCACTGTCATCAGCCCAAATCCCTGGAAAATACTTAAGTTTAGTACAATTTAGTTTCGCTTAATAATTTTTTCATACCATAAATTTGTTGATGCTTGGTGTGACGTCTGCGTGGCCTATTTATATTAAACTCATTGTCCAAATCGTAGTCTGTAATCTCAAAACGTTCGTATTCATTGTCGGACATGTTTAACTGACATAAATAAAGCGCAGAATTCTAACAAAGTGGGAAATAAACAAAAACGTTTAGCTGAATTAACTTTAGTGTTGTAAAGCGTTGCAAATAGGCCACTATGTTAATATAGATATTTTCGTGCAAAAAAGTTTTTTATGTTTGCTGATTAAAAATGTTATGGAAACAAGCTATATATTTTTGAATTTAGAGTTTTATTATTCTAATATTTTTGTCTGTTGATTAAAAATTCTTTATATTTTATTAATTTACAGCTGTAAGATATTTCAATGCACGCCATGTACCAGCTGATAATTTGTCTAATATACCTTTTTGAGATAGCATTGCCATTTTGAGTATAACAGAATGTTCACAGAAATCAGATTTTATAGTTCATTTGGTCATAATATTATTTATATATGTATTCGAAAATTTATAAGGATTAATTTTAATTATACATTTTACTATAAGCTTGTCTTAAAGATTATTTTTTTTAACAATAGACAGCACATCGTGCCATTAAACAAATGATACAATTGTTGATATTTGAAGTTTCTTTATTAGACTTTAGATACTCCTTAAACGCATATAATATTTTAAATAATATTTATTCAATATCATATAATTCATTTTTCAGTGTTTTAATTAAGTTCAGTTAAAGTTTAAATTCTATTATTCCAAAGAACGTGCTCTATTTTATTGTTCTTAGTTCAGCGGAATCGAACCAGTTCACTTACTCACTAAAGAACTGCCGCACGTGCATTACGATAACATCACATTCTTCTCAATGTTCTTGTTGCGTGCGGTTCGTTGTTCGTTTTTGGCGCATACAAATTGTAACAACGCGAAATCACAGCTGCGTAAAGTGCCAACAATCAAAGTAAATAAACATATTAAAATAATTGCTAACGACAATTAGGCACAGGCCGCACCGCAACATCCTCTCGTGTTTCCCTTGTGTTCCAATTAAATAAACTGTATATAGCATTTTAATATTCGTTCAACACACTTGCAAACATTAAGTTTTAATTGAATCTAAATCAAAAGCATACACAAATACAGCTAGCAAAACAAAAGTGAAATTAACACGTGCGTTCAATATTGTGCTCCCAGTTTCAGCCCGCCACAGATTATACCCAGTTGCTTTTTCTCATTTTCGTTGATTTTTTTTGCCGGCGTTGAATTTTTTAAGGCTGGCATTTGATTTGCCTTTGGATTAACTGTTAATTAAACAAATAAGTAACAACAACAGCAACAACAACAGTAACAACAACTACTGAAGAGAAAACAACAAAATGGTGCAGGTAAGATAAAAATAAATGTATTAAAGACTTTACTTTAAATAACAACAAATAAAGTTAAATTTGTGAATAAGTAAATATTAGTTGCTTTACTAATGAGGGAACAAGTTCTTTTTTTAAGTCTAAACTAGAATCAAGTTAAAGAACTTAAATAGAGCAATACTACAAGTATAGTAAAGCTTCCATAAATGTAAATTAAAATTTTTACTGAAGTTGATTAAAAAATTGATTAAAAATTGTAATTATTTGCATTGTTATAAATTACACATATATTAAATTTTAAAAAATTGATTAAAAACCTAAATTATTTTTATTGTTATAAATTACATATATATTGCATTATATTATTAATTTCAAATTTAATATTTATTTTAAAATAATTTTTACAATTTAGAGAATATCAGAAATGTAAGCCGGACAATAATCGACATTATTGTGGGATATGGCTGGTTTTATATGAGATATCTATTATATTTCATAGCTATATAGATTCAATACATTTTATTAAATTCAAATTCTTGGACTTCAATTCACAAAAAGCTTAACAATTTCTACAAAAATGTTATGATTATTGTAAAATACATGTTACAGTTAAGTAGATTTTCTTTAATGCCTCCGTATGTAATTTACAATTATATGTTATTTATTTTTATATTTATGTTAAAAATATGTAAAACGTTGGAGTTGAATTAATTATTAAAAACATTAAAAACAATATAATATATAATAATAGTATGACAACCAAATTCGAACATAAATTAATATTTATGTAATATTTATATAAACGAAGAATTTTCCATTGTGATAGAATATTTATTTAATGAAACTTTCTATTTTATGTTACTCAACCATATTTATGTTTGGCCCATTTTGTCTACTTCAAATTTTTGTCTATGGCCTACTCGAAAAACTATCTTTAGTTTCGATTATTGCAGCTTTTCTCTTTGACTATTCAAAGGAAACACTAGTACGCAATAGCAACTTTAAACACCTATAAACCTAGCTTTAAAACCAAGCGCTTTGGCCTGGACTATTCACCATAAAACCCTTAAAAGTCAACCTACTCAACGAATTCAAAAACAAAACCAAAAAAGGCAAACTCTTCTCACAATCGGACTTGAAAACTTTTCACTTTTTCCCAACCAACCCTCCCCCCGAGCAGAATGTGCGCCCGTTTCCTGACCTTTGACGTAACTTTGAACGTTCGCCTTGCAACCCCAACTGCGAAAAATCCTTGCGTGGGGTATCAACAAAAAAAGAACAGAAAAATATTGACTAGCTATGCAGTTTTTCCCACCCCGCTTGCACTGTCCCAAACAGGAATCAACAACAACAAGAGCAGGAACAGCAACCACCAAAGAGAGAAAAACGAGTTAGCGCGGCAACGCATCGAGATCAAAATTTGAAAAATCCAATTGGAAACGTTTGGCTGTTGCAGGACACAACAGCAGTTCCAGGACTGGGAAAATTGGCCCATTTGGCCCGTTTCGTCGTACGCCCAGGCCTCCTCCTTAATGAACACGAAACGTTGCATTTAGTCAATTTTCCAACCACCATCAATGAGGAGAAAAGCGGCTGCCAGAGCACATACAGAACGCAAAACGAAAAAAATTCAATTGCTCTAATTGGCAGTTGGATAGAGTAGCAAGATACTCCGTAGAAATGTGTTTAATACACCAATTCTATTCTGAAATTTGCTTTATGTAGATAGTTGAATAGATCAAATGGCAAATTGGAAAAATATATTCTCTTTATATTCGATTGTGTTCATGAAAATAGTCATGTTGCAGTACACAAAATCATAAGCCAACTGAAAACGTACGTTTTCATTGGAAAATAATAAGATGCATACATTTAGCTTAGAATAGAATGCAAAGAAGATAGTTACGAACAATACTGATCAAAATTCATTTGGTTTTGATTCTCTTAAAGATATTCGGTGAAAATGAACATTTCATATCTATGTCATATACATAAATTTAAAAAATAAATAAATATATAATATATAAAGATTTCTTATACAACTTATATAGCTCGGCCGTATATATTATATTGTTATACTATAATTTATTATAATATTTAAACTTATATATGAAATTGTATATACTTTTTAAGCTAGAAGCTTTAGAAGTAAATATTTCTATATACGGTATATTTCAGTAGAATTGTCAGGAGCTTATAAAAATGGGTTTAGCTTGGATTTGGATATATTTTATTTAATATGTTAATATGATCAGCTATAAAACCTAAGTGACCATTTGTGAAACTGTTCATGTTTACTGGGTATTCAAAAACTAAAACGCTAGCGACTCGTTTACCTGGACCGCCAAATGATTGAAGTTCCACTTTTCGATTTGAAATGCGTTTTGCAACTGTCCACATAGATACAGATACACACGCACACACACTAGCTCGCACATACAGTTATGCCAAAGCGCATTTTCCCCATTTGCATTTTGTCCAGGCTCTATCAATGGTTGGGGCTTTTGGGTGATTGGGTGGAGAAGGTCTTTCGAACGTAGCTGATGTTTGACAGAGCTTTGTTGCTATTTCTGACTGTTTAGTCAGCAGTGGATATGTGTGTGTGTGTGAGTATGCGCGTGTGTGTGTGTGTGCGTATATATTTGAAAGATAGAGGGGTAATAGGCCTTCATCTGTGCTGGCCCGGGAAAATTGCCCAGGCTATAGAGAAATGTGTTTCGAGTCTGTTATTTGTAACGCTCTTCACGCATTTTCAACCAGTTTCCTGGCCATGTTGCGCTGCTTAGGCCATAAACGTGGTATGAAACCCATTCAAAGATAAGCTAAGCGCACAGTTTTCTATTCAAAGTTACGATGTGCCTTAGTTAATAGAGACATCATGTGAAATACCTCTGACTCAATTTAAACTGACTCGCGGAAGGAAGTTTCGAAACTGAAATACCCTACAAAAACAGAACTTTTTATTATAGTTAAATTGCATCAATGATGATCTGTATCAAAGATGATCTGATTTATATATAATTATATAACTTTTGTTGCTGTAATTTAATACTTATTATATAAATATGTTTAACATATCGTTTTGTTTGGAAATAGAACTGAAATTAATGAGTAATTTAAATTTCGTTCATTTATTTAATGAAGGATTTTTATCTGAGTTTAGTTAAGTGATCTTCATCGTCAAAAAATCGCAAAATTTTTTTTTTTAACTTTTGGAGCTGTTCTTTAAATGATCTATCATCTATAAAATACTTCTTTTATTATATAACATTTCTTTATATTCCATTCATTCATAAAAATAAAAAAAACTCGATATTTTTCAGTATAATATATCGTATCATATAATGGATAAACTCAGCTTAGGTTAGCTTAACTAAGCTTTTTCATTATCGTGTTTCCCTTTGCTGGCATGACACTGTTCTGCATATTAACCATCTCAAATAGACAGCCACGCCCCCTCAAACTGACCTCATGCGACAAGGTGAGAGGCAACATCGTCTATTCAGGAGGCTGTCAGCTCTGTTCGTTGCTGTTTCTGTTTTGGTTCAATTCAATTTGTGTGTTGTGTGTGCCTGAAGGCAGTCGCCTTGGTTTCTTTTTTTTTTTGATGGACATTCGACTGCCATTAGAAGGTTTTACTTTTCAATTATCAAATGCATGCTAGACGTGGTACATGCGTGAACCGTCCTGCAGGCTGCGCGTAGAGCCCGTACAGTGCAATTGCCTACAGAACGAGTCGGCGGAGGCAGAGCTGGAGCGAGCAGAGTGAGACGAATCACTATTCATAACAGCTGCCAAATGGCGCAGCATCGTTGCCTCTGGATCTGGATCAGTTGGCTCGGCGGTCTGGACATGCCGACTGTGCATCTCTGTGCCGCTGCGCCACTTTGGTTTCTCTGGCTCGTGGGTGCCGCTGCTTAGAAATTGAGCGAACTGCTGCGGTGCCTGCAGTTGTGCCAGCTGCTCCCAGTCGGGCGCAGTCGCACGTAAACGCTGACGCATCTCGCTTAAGGCGCGCTGAGTCTCGTAGCCAGCCTGTGCTTCGAATTCGCGTTCGCTGAGCAGATTTCTGGGCATAGGCGGCATGACTTTACGTTGCAATTTTATGAACTTCAGTTGGATCCACTGCAGCACCCACCAAAGCTCCGGCCAAGGCAGCAGCAAACTAACGCATATCCAGCCAAACTTAGCATCATTCGAAGCCCCCAGGATGAGCAGATAGGCCAGCAAACGCAGAAAGCGACAATGGGCACGACGCACCCAGCGCTGGGTCCACATATCCTGGTAGTCCTGACACGCGTTGACCAGCATAAAGGCGCCAGCAACGAGGGACACTGCCACGCTGGTCGGAAACTGTTCGAGCACAAGCTTAAAGTTCGTACTCAATGGCTGGATGCTGCGCATTTTATGATCGCCGTGACACATTAGAGCCACACAAACCACGACAACGCTGGCCAAATGAATGCCCATCACGGCGGCCACACAGTAAACACAAATTAAGGATTCGCCGACAATAGTTGTTGCTTCTATCACCCACAGTCCTACTCCCAGCATAAAGCGTACCAAGCGCTCCTTATCGCAGCGCTCCTGCAATAGCGTTAGATTGTAGGCCTGATCCGTGTAGATGCCATAGCAGGAATGCGCATGTGCTGAAAGCGAGATGTAGTGGACGCGTTTAGCCCTGCCAGCTAGGAATTTGCCCTCATAGCATTCCCGGCGTTGCTTGTGTGCGTCATATACACCCTGTGCCGTCGACGCCCTGTACTGGATGTACTCCGTGTTGGCCGCTTTTGAGATTAGCTGCAGTCGATTGCTCTGAAAGATATTCCTCAGCCTTAGCGGCTGATCACGACGGCAATAGATATGCACACGATTCTGTGAGTATAGCGTCTGCAGCACAGTCAAAGCGTCCTGGACATGAGGTATACCTGTATGCAAGTATGTGACCTGCTGACCGTTTAACTGCTCCGCGAAAAGGTCATTGCAACAGCCACTCAATATTAGAAATATCAGCGAAAGTTTTGAAAACATTTGAATTACTTTCTGTGGTTGGGTTTTGTGAAAGCAGTTAATGAATGCTCTGAATGCTGTCAAAATTTAACACAACTACTTGGTCAATAGGACTTAAATAAATATGATCCAATTTTCAAGTATTACTTAAACTATAAAATGCTGAAAAACCTGAGAGACAAAGTAATTGAAAGCTAAACTAATTAAAGTAGAAGAGAAAAGTTAGTATCGGATGTTTTTTAAAGTTGCACAAGTTTAAATCATAATAAAACAAAAACATATATTATTTTAATAACGGTGCAACGGACTTTATTGACTAGACATTTAAATATGATTTCGGTCAAGGCATAATCTGCAATACCAATTTTGATGACCAATCCTCGTCTTTAGAGACATATGCTCCAATGTTGATGCTCATATAATGCTGCTGCGAAATAAACCTTATGGTTAATTCTCAATTCTATTTATTTACGCTGCACAAGGTGCAGGAACAGATGAAAATTTCAACAATTTGCATGCGTTGCTCAGCTGTAAGTCTATGCATAATTAAATGACAAACCAAACATAAGAAAAAGCAACTTTCAGCTTGCAAATAAAGAATAGATGCCAACTCAGAAATTTTATTTATGGCCTTTGGGCTTAGCTTATTTTGATCCATTTCAAAGTCAAATTTTCAATCTAAATTATCGATTAATTGTTAGGCTAGATTAAGAGGCAAAAATCAGATTTTTTCACTTTAGACACATTTATGAGTGAAAGCTATTATTATTAATAACCAATGATAAAGTAGGCAACACTCTTAAGTTAAGTCATGTGCATTGATCTACAAGTATAGTTTACAAATGGCTCATATTAATGATGAACTTAAGAATATATTATGATACACTTCTTAGCTAGTAAGTCAATGAAAACGTTGCATATCGATTTAATTTTCACTGCTGCATGTGTGAACTCACTTCAGATTCCAAATGAAGTCACTTTGAAATAAATAAAAATAATTGTCGACTACCTCAACATTGCCCTAGATAATCTGATTTCCCCAAGCAAACGAAGCCAAAACTTTATTAAATTCTAAATAAAGTTCAATAGCAAAAACTTTATAATTGATGAACAATAATCATATATCATAGCCTGAGCCAGCCACACACAATAAACTTTGTCTCGCATCAATTGATGACTTCAGAGTTTGCTCATTGGATAAACCAACCCAACTAAGACAACCCTCCTCATACTCCCTACCCAAACAATGAGTGTGGACTTTGTAGTCGACTTTCAGGCGTGCGTCACATGCTGAGAGAATAGAGCAGCAGAAGGCACACTTAGTGCTAAATTTTTGCTGTTGGTAAAACAATTTTAGCATTGTCTATTATATAAGTAAAAGAGAAAACTGATTGATAAAATATGAATTTAAATCATAAAAAGTTAAAGTTAAATTCAAATAAAAACATACTTAAGCTTAAATAAATTTAAATTTATAATTTTTTATTAATCGCATTTATATAGATTTTCTTCAGAAAATTGAATCTGTATAATAATATCATACTAAGTTTTATTTAAGAATATTAAGTTATCCTTTCGATATAAAAAACACTTTCAGAAGTCATGTCAATTTATTTTTGTTTACATTTTTTCATATTTTTACCATTACTCTAATATCTTTACTTTATCACAGTCAAAAAATGTTGTGTAAAGAAATTCCTTTAGAAAAATATTCCAAATTCCATTAATATGTCTAACTGTGTCGCCAGTATGTAAATTCCTTAAGCACATCTCATCTTATAAGCTATATAACCATCTTATACTAGTTAGCTTATACTAACTAACTTATACTCTGAAATATGTATCATCTGTAGTTTCTATTTCACGCCCATATCATTTTCTCAAGTGCTTTTGCTCTTTTTTTGATGTTGCGTTTTGGCCATGTTTTCTAGTTGGCTTTTAGACAACGCCTGTCCTTTGTGCCACATTTTTCTCTGCTCCGTTGTGGATGCTTTATTTGTAGTTGTCGTTTTTCAGTCGCATACTACGTGAACCAACTAACAATGTGTCTACGTAGTACGTAGTACGTAGTGCCCCCTCCCCCTGCCCAAGCTTCGAGTATAAGTCAGGGCCAAGCGCAAAAGGAAAAAGAATTTCCCGGTCATTTCATCAAAGCGCAAGTCGCGATAAAAAGCAGCGTAGCAAAAACTCTGAACAAAAATTAAAAAAAACGGACAAGGCAAAGGAAAATCTACGCACAAAGTGGCAAACAGCAAAAGGAAGAAAAAAAACCAACTGAAATGGCCACAAAATGAAAACGAATGAGCAAGAGCGAGGGAGAGAGGAAGGGTAAGAGCAGAGCAGAGTTGGAAGTGGGCTGTGGTGGGGATGGTAAGAGATAGCGACTTCGAAGCTGCAGCATTTTTTCCCGTTATGAACCAGAAATCGAACTGAAATTTGTGCAGTGTTGTTTTTTGCTGCTGTTGGCAACAGAAAGGTTGCTGTTGCTGCTGTTGTTGTTGTTGTTGTTATGAGTGTATGCTATGGCTATCCATTGCGTTGCTGCGCTGCGTTTGCTGCTTGTTCTCCACGCTCCTTTTTGGGCCTCATGCATTTTCCGTGTTTCGTTTTGTGCGCAAAATAAATTGGTAAACAAGCGAGGCGGCCAGAGGCCTGCATTAGCACGACAAGGACAGTGATCGAAAACGAATGACAGAGATGGAAACAGAAAAGAGTGCGGGCAGAGTGAGAGAGCTGGCCTGGTGGTCAATGGCAATACATGGTCATCCGATGTTCGTACATAGCCATTCGCCTGCATTCATACTCATGCATGTATATATGTATATATATGTGTGTGTCTGCATGTGTGTGTGTACATGCGTGTGTGTTGTGTTTTCTGTGACGCTGTGCACATTTCATTCTGGCTGCATTTTAGTGCCTGTCCATTGTTTTGGGCAGTCACCTCCCACTCTCGTGTGGCTGCCATCGAATTTGCTCTCTCTACTCTTCCACACTTCTCCGCTACTCTTCTCTGTTCGCGTCGTTCATGTATTGCATATGGTGCGTCCGTTAGCCGCGTGGGTCACAAGCGTTGCGTGGACGTCGCTGCCGTCTCTGCTTTTTTGCCTCCTTCTGTGCGTTTACCTCTGCCATAGGCACTGCTCGTGCCTCTGTCTCTGCTGCTGTCGCTGTCGCTGCCGCTGCTTTCGCCACGGCTTTTTTCCACGTTGCCGTCGCGTCTCTTCTAACTCGCTGCATAGCTGCGAGGAACCCACGCCTCCTCTCTTTTTTCACATTTCTATTGTTGTTGTTGCTTTTTGGCCGCTGCATTGGAGGCGCAGTTCTTGCGATGCCATTGTGCACAGTGGCACAAGCTATTCATAAAACTGGAAGTTTTAAATTATCATTATAAATAATATGATTGTATGTAATTGATTGTAATAAAACGATTATATAAATAGATAAGCTCAGCAGTAATTTAATATTATCATATTGATTGCAATTAATTGTTATATAATGTTAGAACAGTGTAATGGATTGCTTGGCCTATAAATTATTCAAGTGCAATATTTTTAGAAAAAATCTCTAAAAAGAATAATTCGCAACTTCAATATTATATACATTTATATATTATTTTTGTACAACAAAAAAATAGGAATATTAAGTTTAAAATATCGATTCAAATATAATTATTTTTGGTTATCTTATATTATATATTATATTTTATATTTTTTATATTTATTTATCTTTCAGGTAAGCAACAAATGATATTTGCTCCAGTGTGCAAGTCCAATCAGTAAAAACGAACGAAACGCGACGCTGGCGCTGCTGTTGCCGCTGCTGTCGCAACTGCCGCAGTCGCTCGTTATGTGTGCCAGGCAAAAGGCCAAACGCATGTGTGTTCAGTCGACCCTGTCAGCCAGCCCCACATGCTGCCCAACTCCTCTGCCGCCTCTGCTACGACATGTTGTGCACTGTACATAGGCACAATGAGCGAGTGAAATGCAAGATAGCGAGAGCAGGCGGGTGCGAGCGAGTGAGCGAATGACGAGCCTATACATAAAATGGCGTTGCATATGAGGAGAAAAACCTATGCAGTTGTGTGAGTGACCATCTCTTTGCGTGCGTAAGTACATGTGTGTGTGTGTGTGTGATGTGTATGTGTATGAGCCTACGCAACGGTAGCTTTTTCATGTTAGCTGCTGCTGCTTCGGCTGCACCTCAAAAGCAAAACGCATTGAATGCGTATCGAGTCCAAGTCGAATGTTGATTGTATTATATTGCCAGGGAACTTGCTCGAAGTCCATCTCATCTGGCTTTCTCCCTCTCTTTCTCTCCTTCGCTCGGTTCATGCACTTAAAAGCTCGTCCAGTCGCTGCAGGCTATAACCAACACACACACATGCAAACATGCAGCAAATTGAATAAACTCCCAAAATCAAATTTTTCACCACTTTTGCTCAACTGACGTGAACGCCAGCTGCTCGCTACACACCCACGACAACAACAAACTCTCTGAGTGTATACGTCTGTGTGTGTGTGTGTGTGTCCATCCTTGCCATTTAAAGGGTCAATGAAATGCACAGGCTATACCATTTTCTCATCCATGTCCCACGTTCATGTCCATGTCATTGTCCGTGTCCGAGTCGGGGTCCTCGTCCTTCATTCATTGCCTGGCCGTTTTTAGTTTTGGTTGAGCGCCTTTCAAATCAATTGAAAAACGTTTTCTTTTTTCCATGCTAGGACCCAGTTTTGTTCATATTTATTGTGGCATTCCTTCTTCTAGTATATTGGCTTTGATTTAGTTGCTAAAATATATTGGCCCTCTGATCCATCCAGAGTTGCTGCCAGCTGCCAGGTTCTATTGACCAGCAGCATTTCCTTTTATATGTTTCAGTTTTATTGTGCCTAACTCTCCATATGTAAGCAGTTTAATTATGGTCGCTCGATAGAAAACTGCTGTTTACTTAAGGATTGTTTTAGATTCGTTGAGATTTCGAGATATTTCTGAGCACTTCTGTAAGAAACTTGTTTTAGGTATGTTAACAAATCCTTATTGATTATAGTATATATGTAAATAGAGAGATATATTACTTTCCATGTCTATAACTTTCCTTAAAAACTTATTGCTTTTATATATCTAAATGATTTGGTCCTAAATATATGCTGCCCCTCAAAGTATGCTATGACATTCGCAAACCTTAAAATTATATCAATTATTTAGATATATATATATTTACACATATATTGAAGTTACATCATATAAACTACCAGATCGTAGCTCCAATTAAGTTCCATTGAGCATCTGTAAGCACTAAAAATCTTTGCTCATTTGCAGCTATTGTAAGCATAAGAGAATTTTCATTGTGTAGCCACAACTCGAATTGGGATTTGTTGCCATTGTTCAAAGTTTACATAACTTGTTGACAGTCTTTTGGCTGGCCTGCAGCTTTAGTGAATGAAATTGGAGCAAGAAATTGGTTAAAGCTGACCCAGACAGACAGACAGACGGACAGGCAGACCGAGCAAACACAAAAGGCAGCCAAGAGGCACACACACACGCAGCTGGAAAGTAAGACAAAACGTAAACACAACAGTTTTATCTTCATTAAATATACGTATAAATATTAGACATGCTTCAGGATCTACAATATATATATATTTGAATGTGTGTGTGTGTGTGTGCTTGCTTTTCATGTGGCATTTGTTTTGAAGGTCAAATTACGAAATCACCCACAAAATTGATGTTGGCAGCACCCAGGACAACATTATGTATATATATATATATATATATTAAATGGAGCAAAAGTTGTAACAAAACTTTTGAGCAGCCAAAATGTGTTGCACATTTAAGGGCCGGTGATGGGGGCGTGGTGTCTGCTGTGAAGTGAAGGACATTGGACGGCGTGCCACAAAATTTGTTTTTGAGCTGCAAAAACTTTTGTTTCCAGCACTTGCAAGCAGGCGACTTGACCTACTGACAACTTGTGCAAATTTATTTGTTTCTGGCAACTGCAGATGCTTGCTATTGCCTTTTTTCTTCCTGATAACAAAGGATGTTGACGTTTGCTAGGTGCTACGAGACGTATGCGCAATATTTGTGCACTTCAAACTCGAACAAATGTGTGTGTTTGGGTATAAATTTGTGCTTGTTTCTGAGGTGAATTGATGTGTTTGTTTTAAGCATAAGCTTTGAGTATAGGTCGAATTGTTCAAAGCAATTGCAAATTTGTATTACATTTAAAGTTTATTGTTTTGAGTTTAGTTTAGTTGCTTTATCAGACAAAAGATTTTATAAAGAGGGCCACTCTTCTACTTGGGAAAAACGGAAATTAAATAAACTTTAAATTTGAAGCATATTATATTTGTTATATTACATAGCAAAAGATGTGATATATTTCATATATATGTTATACAAGCCGTTTTACCCTATTTTAAAGTGTAAGGAATGTTTACATATAAATTTAAATAATTTGTATAATTAATTATTTTACAAATTTCAATCTTTGATACACCCAGTATTCGAACTATTCTTGTTGTCTATTGGACCTTGTCTTAAATAAAAGAATCATTTCAGGAAATATTTTAAAAATTATTTTTAGATAAAAGTTGCTAAAAATTGCTAATCAGGATATGGCGCACATTTTCAATTGTGAATATCCTGGACAACATTTTTATATATGTTGATGCAAAGAAACCTCAAGAAAAATATAGCGGACAGGTAAAACCGTCTTTGATTTGTATGCAAGATTTTTGCCGTTCGTCAACTTGAAGTTAATTTTAGCTACTCTAGATACATCGCGACAACATCCAACTTGCTGAGGCTTCTGTTCTCATTCTTAAATTTAAATTTAAGTCTTTAAATTTCAAATTAGAATCTTCTAAAAAAATCAAATATATATATACTTCAGAAAAATAGTTTTTATATTTAGTAAAATTGATATATATATATATATATATATATATATATAAATATTCCTTTTTTAATTGTCTACTTCTACTTCTATTCTTTATTTATCAAGTATTTTTCAATTTTGTAGAGTTTCTTATCAAAAATTATGCAATGAACATTTTCGAATTTATTTTACTCAACTCTCTTCATTTGCTACTCCAATAAATTTTCTCTATATTTTCCACTCAAGCTTACTCGTATTTTTCTGCTCATCCAGATTTCGTGCGCAACAAGTTTTAAGCCATTTTCACGCACACTGTGGCCGCAAATGCAGTGGGAAAACTTTTACTTTTATTTATTTTTTGCGCACATTTTATGCAACTTATATAAATGGCAGACGACACTTTGGCCACCTCAAACGCCCACCGCCCACGGCCGACAGCAGCTGCCCGAGCGTTGGTCTTTTTGTATTTTTCTCTTCGTCATCGTCGTCGTCGACGTCGACGTCGACGTTTTCGTATTTGGCAAAGATAAAGTTTTGTAATAAAAATGTCTGCTCGTAGACACCGGCAGACACTGCCAGCCAGTGGGTGGGTTAGGAGGGATGATGGGGTTCTGGGTCTGCTCAGTCCCAGCCAGCCGAGCAGACATTTTGTCTAGCAATTTTCAAGCCCGAAGTGTGTCAGCAACTTTGCCACCTCCTCGACTTCCTCTTCATCGTCGTCGTCGTCGTCGTCGACATCGTCGTGAACGTGTCCTTGTCCTTGGCCCCCACTCAGACAAACACTTTCTGATATTTATATATACATTAGTTGAGGGTAGGGAACTTTCGCTTTAGTTTTGCGCTGGTTTGCATTTTATATACATATAAAAGCGAGCATTGAAAAACTTGTTGCCAGTAATGTTTTCCTTTCACTTTAATATGCTTTTGGCGGAGCGTGTTATGAGACTAGGACGATTTTTAGTTCAGTTGGTTTATTGGTTTGGTTTATTATAGACTCCATTTTAGACCAGTTAATTGAAATGGTCGTTTAGAAATTGCATCTGGACACAGCCCACTTGCTTAGTACATTTTACGCTCAAATTACTTTTAGTAAAATTGTAGTGCATATTGATTTTAATTCACATTTAGTACACCATCCAAGATCTTGGCATTAAGCTACTACTAAGGAATTATAAAACACTTTGTTTAAAGTTCGATATTCCATTGAATATATTTATTTGTTGTAGTTTTTTCTTTTGTTTATTGTTTGTTTCTTATTTTTGGTAGCATTCAAATTTCGTTTAAAGAATTTGCATTTTAGAGCAACATTTTAGAACACTTTATTAAGTGCAATGCGTGCTAAATTCTTAAGCATATATATATATTAAAATATAATATGTTATGTCTTTTTTTTGTATAATTTTTGGGCTATTTACATGATTAACATAAAGACATGTTCTAAAATTTAGTACATGTGTATTTTTTGTTTTGTTTAAGCCTTAGGCTTCAAACGTTTCGTTCATGAGTAATGTTGTGCTGTGTACTATAAATATTTGTGAGACATCCCTTAGACCTTAATGATTTTAGTGCAGCCTGACATTGGGTTACCGAATTTAGAACATTTATTATTGCAACTCTATATTGAAAATCCCCGAGGCAACCCAAATGCAGTCTAAACATTGCATCAGTGAGTTTCCTTTTTTGTTTTTTTTTTTTATGATGAGAGTCTGCGACATGCGAGTGATATGCTTCCGATAATTATTAAATTATATAGATACTATAACAAATATAGATATGTGAAATCGCCTAAATGGGAAATTCTAATATGCTACGACTCCTAGAAGTTAACCCCAATATTGAATAGAACCCACTACGCCTTACGTCTGATGCCCATCAGACACAGCACAAAGAAAATGATCGTCCAGCCGGCCATAACGAGGAAGCCGTTATAGACCTTCTCGTGGGTAATGCTCCAACCCTTCTCGATGACATTTCTAGCCGATATGGAGGGTATGGTAAATGGCAGCACCATTACCACATCCTGCAGGAATTGCGGCATGCTCTCCAACGGCCACAGAAGACCTAAACGAAATACCAGAGATCAGAAATAAATAATATGCATTAGATATGCAAAGACCTACCACAGAGTATAATCATGGGATAGAAAGCTCCAGTGGCCACAAAATTAGCCTCCGTGTGCGATTTGCAGAAAACAGAGATGAAAAGACCTGGAACAAGAGATAAAACTCGAATTAGTTGCATGTCATTTCTATATCTAAGCTCGTTTATCTACCAAACAACATGCCACAAAAAGCTGTCAGCGTTAACAGTCCTATCAACGTAGTCGTATCTCCATTGTTATACGTATCGAATACGATGCCAATGTATATGACGACCTCGAACGACTGCAGTGCCATGATAATAAGCTGTGTCAGTAGATGAGCCCAAAGCATTTCGGTTGCTGAAACTCCAGCCAATAGGGTACGATCCCAGATGCCATCCATACGCTCCGAAATAAATACGGCCGCCGTCATCAAAGTGGCCAAGAAAAATACCATGCTTAATGGGAAAACAGACATTACAATTTAATAAAAAGTTAGTTGTATAATTAAAGGTTTATATTAAGCGATAGTTTCGAATAGTTATATAAATCGATATTAATATTTACCGATAAATTCGAAAAGGTTTTTTTAATTTATATTATGAAAGAGATTAAGTGAAAGTTGATTAGAAAAAGGTATTTGGGAGTACAAATATTTGGGTGGTATTAATGATCCGTAGAATCCTATCTATCGATAGGTTTCAATAAGCACCGTGAGCATAGAAAAAGTACTTAATAATACAATATAGATGAGGCTAAAAAAGTCATACTAGAATAAAATAAGTAAGAAGAGATATGAAATATGTAAATTAATAATCGATATATTTATCGATTTTATTTTAATTATAAATTTTAATAGAACTAAAAGGCGTATATATACAGGTTTCATGATCGATAGTTATTGAGTTGCATATCGACATCAAGTGTTAAACTATCTTGTGTATATCGATAAATCTGATAAATACCTGCTGAACCAATCGTATACTCACGTCATAACCACTCCAGGCGCACAATACTGTTGGAACTCAATGTCCGTGCTGCCATAGATGGGATCCTGGAACTGTACAGGCAATTTGACCAAGGCAGCTGATACATTACAATCGTGAACAACGGCATTCATAAAATTGCTAAATGTGTCTCGCAGTTTGCGCTGCATAAAGTAACCAACTTGTTGATCTGTGAAGGCAGTTAAACAAAAATTCGATATATTTTTATATAAAGCTTAGCTAGACTCACCCGTCATATCGATATGGACAACTACTTCGGCATTATCAACGGATCCATCCGATGCATAGATACCATCCTCGATAAATTCGTAAACCGAGTCACTGAAGTTGTGAGCGAAGTATATATAGCCCACGGTTTTGGCGCGTTTGGCGTCCGCAAAGGCTGCCTCCTCTGTGGGATAATACTTTCTAGTGGCCACATCATCGCCCAGTTCCTGTATGTAGCGACAGGAGAGCTTATTGAATCGGCACGTATCGTTGACGTTATAAATGGTCTGCAGGTTCTCATCGAAACACTCGGAATAGCTGTTCACCTCGCCGGAGTAGATGCCCAGCTCAAGATTCTTGGGTGTTTTGCCAATGGCCATATAGAAGCAGGACAATTGTATGATGGGAAACAGCATCATGAAAATTATGCCTCTAAAATAGTGAACAGAACACACTGTAAGAACTGCTAGCTGAGGTCAAACGTAAGCTGCACTCACGAGGGTTGTCTGAACAGTTGCACAAAGTTCTTGGTCATCATCGCTTTAAGGCGTCCTTTGGTCGTAAAGAAAATCTTTTTGCAATTGTCGTTCTGTGGCTCCACGTATGGTATGGGCGGCTTCTCTACCGTCGGCTCATGTGTATCGATCACCTCCGTTGGCAGCGCTGCGGCGGGCAGCGTTTGATTTTTACTCTGATTCATAATCTGCTCCAGCTGGTCTTCGTTGCCCTGACGCTGGCTGAGTATGAGGAAAGCATCTTCGATCGATTGTGTGCCGAATTGGATCATGATATTGGTGGGCGTGTCCTCAGCCAGCAAGACGCCATTGCGCATGAGACCGATCTGGAGGGGAAGCAATAAGTTAAAAGTAAAAAAGACAATAATAATGTGAATAGACGAAGAAAACAACTATAATAGAAAGTCTTAGTCAGTTGATGGAATATAAAGATCAGAGTAGCAAAACAATTTTAGTCAAAGTCAAGAGTGGCCTTTTCGTGAGTGACTGACTAGAACATACCCCTACCCAGCTTAGGCTTAATTCTATTTCAATGGAGTACATTTATAGTTTACCTAAAGGTAAGATAATGCTCTCTCTTTCGTTAGCTTTATTTTTCTCTGTCTATCGTGTTTTACTTTCCTTTCTCTCTTCCCACTTTATCTATCTTTCAGTCTTGCTCTTACTTTCTCTCTCTCTCTCTCTCTCCCCATATATATAGAGACTTAATGAATGATGCTTCTAAATGTTATATGAGCTGTCATAATTCTTAATTGACTTATACTTACGTAATTCGCCTGCTTGGCCTCTTCAATATAATGTGTGGTAATAATCACAGCCAATTTGCTATTTCTAGTCGTTTCCACCAGAAAGTCCCAAATTCTACAAGAGCAAAGAACGCATTTAGTTATACATAAAAACACAAGTACGTTGAACTTACTTTTCGCGCAGCATAGGATCAAGCCCGACCGTGGGCTCATCGAGAATGAGCAGCTCGGGGTCGTGTATCATGGCACAGGCGAAAGACAAGCGGCGTTGCTGTCCTCCACTGCATTGCTTGATCATTTGACCTGCCGACGGCAGTTGCAGCAGGTCCTTGAGCAGCTTGAACTTCTCCCGAATACGCTCATCTGTCAGTCCATAGATGCGACCGAAGTAAAAGAGGGTCTCCTTGACGGTCATCTCCTCGACCAACGCGATCTCCTGTGGCATAAAGCCCACACGCGATCCGGGCACACCGCTGCCCGGCTCACCGGGCTTAACGCCCAAAACACAGACGTCTCCGCCGTTGAGATTACGTTGCCCGACAATGCATGAGAGCAGCGTTGTCTTGCCACAGCCCGAAGCGCCCAGTAGGCCATAGCTAAATAGAGAGTGTGTGTGGGGGAGAGGGGGAAAAGTTATTGATTGATTTAAAACAATCGATTGGAGTTCATTATGAATGCCACTCACATGGAGCCACGCATGACGTTCATATTCAGCTGGTTGAGCACAATCTTGGGATTCTTTTTGGAGCCATAGTACTTATAGCCATTCCGCACTTCAACGGCCGCCATTTTGCTTGTGTGTGTGTGTGTGTTTAAGTATATGTGCTCTCCTCTCTTTCAGCTCGCTCACTCGCTCTGACGTTGCTAATGTGCTGCATGATCGAAAAAGAATGATGAGTATCGGATAATTGTTTGCGTCAATAAATCTATATTTGGCTATGTGTTTTATTGATTTCCATTGCTTTATGACAGACACGTGCCAAGGCACACAAAGCGCTCGGGCTGCCAAAAAATATCGCTGTCCAAGACCTAAACATAGTGCTAAAATCTTAGCACTCGGCAAGTTGCAAACAATTAGACAATGCCTGAAAGTGAAAAATAAGCCAGCTAACTTCAGCTCAGTTCGCAGAGTTCACTGCCCTTATCGAAAATATATCCAAATTTGTTTGGTAGATCTAAAAACTGATTTATCAATGTTGACTTCAGTTAGTTAATAAACTTTTCACACAAATTAGTTCATAATTTGCCATCTGAAATATTTAGCTTAGTTAATTCCTTTTGAACTTTGCCTTGCTTCCACGTGTGGCGCGCTTAATTAACCTTTGATTTTCACAAAGCCTTAAAACTAAACTGGCAATTATTATTCTTGATAGCTAATGACACCTTAGGAAAGGGCAGCAAGAGTTGTGCTTATTCATTGTTCGTTAATGAACCCTAAAATGTGTGAGAAATTATCATTATTTTTGGTTGAATACATATCTCTAAAGAGTAAGACTTTAGAACTTAAACCGAGACCGCAAATATACTGAGGATATAAAATACATATCAAACTTTATAAAATAATATTAATAATAAATAAAGAAATAAATAATTAATAAATAGATTAACTCGAAATTCTTTTAAATAATAATTTCCATATATTTGTTATGTAAATGTTTTAATTAAAATTAAATTAAATAGAAGGGAAAAACTAATTTGATCAAAGTAAAATTTGCAAAAATATTAATTAAATTTCAGAAAACTGTATATATTACGAAGAGTAAAATAATATATACTAATATTTCAAAAATTTTAATACTTTTTGCATATAAAATATGTGTATATATGTTTTATATTAAAACATTTAATAACATGTAATAAATCTGATTTAATATATTTGTTTTCTCAACTTCAACTATTTTATGCATATATGCGTTGAGTAGGCTACGATGGTATCCAAATATTTGTCGAAAATGGGCTCACTTAATAGGAAAATTAATGACAACAGTAAACGGATAATTTATTTATGAAATATACATACAACATTATTAGTGCTATACGAATTTTTGCTCATGTTGCCAGATTCAATATGCACTTTATAAATATAAAGATTCTGCTGCAAGGCGCTGCCTTTAATGCGTTGCCAACCTCATTTGTCATGCTGAAGGTCTCATTTGTAATATTGTGTTTACCAATAAGAATTAGCCGAACAAATTGACTAATAAACAGCAGCGTTATGAAGTTTTGCCAAAAGAACCTTCAAGTTGTAAACTTTAATGCGGTTCATTGAAGTTTGGCGGCCATCAGCAAAGCAAATTGTAAAAAGTGCTGAAACAGTTAAAAGCAAAACTTGAACAAATTTCGTAAATATTGACAATGGTTATACATACGCCTGAACAATGTAAAACTGTGTGTACAAGTGAAATTTACTTAGCCGACATTATTTATGCATGTCTGTAAATGCAAATTACAAAGGTGCTCAGAACGCGCTTCGCTCGGACAATGACAATACGGAAAAAATGGAATGACAATGTGCGCGCGCGCTTGAGAAGACAAAGTGTCTTGAATACCAAATCGTAAAAACGAATATCTAAATGCACACACACACCCCCATGTACACACACTCTGATATACATGTATATATGTATGCATGCATTCCCACATATCTGTACATATAATTAATGTCAAGAAAATGCAACCAGAATAAGCAAATCAAGTTTTGTGAAATGCCCGACTAAACAGAACATTTTCCTTTGGAGAAAGGGCAGCGCGCGGGTATCTGTTAATAGGCATGCTTCATAGCACATCTGAGTCACAGCCAATGCGCTAAAGATAATATTCTATTATTAAAAAGCTATTGTTATGTTTGCTAATTTGAGAAAAATTGTTTTAAGAGCTAGTTATTATTTATTCAATGGATATATTTATTATCCTGAGCATTTAAATATCTATCAATGTTTAGAAAAGGGTTGGGTTAGTGGACTGAGGCAATAAATGGTTTTTTTTATTGAAATTGATTTTGACTTGCTATTAGATATATAAAGGTAACATCTGCAGCCTGCGGTAAATTGAATATATTTTGCAAGCTGTCTCAATCAATTTTGCAGTACTTTTTGTTGTCATATTTTCAATTTTACTTACAACACAAAGCAAACATTTTGTTTAACAGCATTAATTATGTGATACAAGCATTTGCTATGTAATTAATGTAATTTGCTGTTGGGTTCAAGTCAATTGGCAACTCCTGTTCAAATAATAATGGCCTCGTTGTTAGACTTTGACCCAGTTCGAGTGCCAGCGCATGTTTAGCTTAAATCCATCATATAGCCAACTGCCATTTGCACACAAAAAGTGTCTATATTCGGGCAAAGCTCTTTTGTATCTTTGCATCTCTCATATACATAATCAAATGAGCCGGCTAACTAGAAATACAACAAAACAACGCGCGCACGCACATATACACACACACTCAATCACAATATGTCCATAAAACGTTCGAAAGTCAAACTCGAAAACATTACAAAAAGCACAAAAAAAAAAGAGAAAAAACTTAAAGACCAAAAAAAAATAAGTTGAGTAAGGTTAGTAACACAAATTCGTGGTCATAAATTTACGTATCTGTTGTTGACGTTGTGTTATTTGCTTAACATTGCGGCAGATGACGCAAAGGACAACAATTTCTCAGCTGATATGGTCTTAACCCCAAAAGAGAGGCGCGAAATATATAAAATTGCGCTGAATTTTGTGAAATAAAAATTAAAAAAATGAAAACTTTAAATACGAGCATTAACTTGACGTCAGAAATAAAAACACAACGAAAAAAAAATTTACTACAAAATAATAACAGTTTCAATTAGACTCCGCCAATTTGACTAGGAATACCCTTTCATTATAATTGTTATTTTTTGTTAAGTTTTTTTCATATTGATTGCCTAATAGATTATCTAAAATTTTAATTTACTGTGAGAGTGACTAAATATTTAATATGTTTAATATTAATATTTGGTGCTTCCTTTTTTTTGCAGTCTAATAATAATAAACTTTATAATATATTAATACTCTCTAATAATAATTAATGTTCAGTAATAAATGTTTATTTCATATTCAAAGTAAAATTAATGTTATTTTTGTTAAAGTTATATTTTTATATTCAATTCATATAGAAAAGCTTTGACAAATCGCAATCGATTCACTGAAAACATTGAAAGCTTCACTGCATTTTTGTTAAATTTTTCTACATTTCTATTACTTTGCACAACATTTAGATCTTTAAATAAATAAATCTAATGTTAAGAGTGCTTATACTCTCCAACAGGCATTTCTCTAAATTGAAAAAGTTGATTTCGTTTCTTCTTCCTCTTTCCATACCTTAAAATAATGTTCCGAGTAAAAATAAAACTTCCATTTTTAAGTCCCCCACTTCCACTCTTTAAACTGCATTCCAAAAACTGAACTTAATTTAGTTAATTTCAGAATCAAGTAAATAATCAAACTGAGCTCATAATTGGCCAGGCAAACTGCAATGCCAAGTGCTCGTACTCTATGCAAGTTGAAATTAAAAAACCCCAAAAATAAAAATTAAAAAAAAAAAATTAAAACGTTCAACGCCGAAAACAAAACAACGCCAAGGTTGAACCAACTGGTTGTCAGCGCGAGCAGCGCTGCAGTTGGCGTCAAAGTCGACGTTAAATGTTAACGTCGTAATGCCAATTGCTGTCGCGGCTGTTCCAAAAATTGTTTGCTATATGACAACGAGATACATTATACATATATAATGTATGTATACATATTTATGCATGTGTCTCTGTGCATTTGCAACGAATTTAATTTGCAAATTTGCAAATCTTTTGCAATGTTTGCGCTGAGTCAAGAAGCCCTGAGCCAAACGTTCGAGTGCTTTCTCAGCAGAAAGAACATGGCTATGACGAATATATATACATACATATATGTATATATTGAAAGAGGCAGGCATGGCCACGCCTACATTAAATGAACTTAAAGTTGCTGCTTCTGCAGTTAGTGGGTATTTAGTTCGTGCAACATGTAGCAGCAGCAGCAGCCGCAACTATCGTGAATCGCTGAATTGGTCGACAGTTGCTTCCTTCTTGCTGTCACCAGCTGGCCATGCTTCGCTCTCTCTCTCCCATTTTTTCCCTGTCTCTGTCCCTCTCTGTGTCTGTGTGTTCAATTTCGGTTTGTGGCATGGCCACTTCTTATATAATCCAGCAACAATCATTTCGGCCAAGCTGCAACACCAACAACAGCAATCAACAACAACAGCTGTCTGGAGCTAGTTGTGTGTACTGTTTACATCATTTACTCTTTAATAGAGTTTTTGAATTTAAAACTTAAGTGCGATCTGCCTAAGATAATCATTTAATTTGATTTTGAGACGCAAATACCTCTAGCTAAACGAATCATTTGATATTGATTTGACAACAGTTTTTAGTTAATTATATTTTTTGTTGAGTTGAGTTAAGACTGGTATCCTTCAAATATATGGGCTTACGCTCTAATATATCCAATTGAATGTCAAGAAATGCATATTCTCAAATTTATATTCAAACTACAGCAACTACGGACTACGATTTAATTAAGTTTTAAATTACAATAAATAAACATTTTTCGTTTATGAAAAATGTATTTAGAAAAATATGAATTATGTTCTGAAAATATATTTTCATTTCCTCCGTGTTTATATTAGTATAAAAATTAAAATTGCATAAATAAATTCCTTAAAATAGTTTTGCATTTAATTTGTCTTGCATGAATTTAGAGTTTCCTAATCCCAGCCAAAATTTTAGCTATGCTATGCCAACCATAAAATCTCAAAGTAAATGATTTTGATTGTGTTACCAACTCCAATTGCTCATTGTTGTATACTCATGAGTTTTTTTGTTTTTTGTTTTCTTTGATTATAATTTGTGCTATTCGTTTTGCATTTTCTTTAACGTTTTGTTTTTTGCTTTTTCATTTGAATTTTGTTTCATTTCCTTTATGTGATTATTCTCTGTGTTAGTTTTGCCGTTTTGTTTTTTCTGTGTCATTTCGCATCAGTGCATTATGGACATGTAACAATTTTGTTCAGTTGGAGACAAAGCTCGAGTAGAAAGGCATGATAAAGCAAAAGATTTCTCAGTCCATGTGTGTGTGGCTAGACGATCAGTTTCCGACAAAAGTGGGTTACACTGGGGTATGAAGAAGCAAGTCGTTTGTCAATTGGAAAAACCAAGGAAACTGCACATAGTTTTTCCTCAGCAGCTAACCGCTTAGTAACTAACACATCTCTTAGCTGATCTACTCTTGGCTTAATAAATAGCTGAATGGTGTATATATATGTATGTTTATAGGTGTATATATGGTCAGTCATTGTCTGTTGCAATATTTTGCATTGCTCAATCCCGTTCAGCGTTCAGCGCGCCCGAGCTATATGCCATTTCTCATCTACTGGGGTACTACTGTACGCTCATTTTCGAAATATTTTTTTAAATTTGTTTTATTTTTTTTGGTGTTGTGGAAAAACAAACAGAAAGGCAGTTAACAGTAGCAGGGGCAGTCAACATTGAGCTGTTGCTGTTGTGAAGTTCACTCATTTTTGTCTGTGTCTTTTCTTTATTTATGTATATATGTATATCTTATATATATATATATTATTTTTATTTTACTGCCTTTTTTATTGCACTTTTCGACTCTGAGATGAACAAAAACAAAGCCAAATGAAACAGATTCAAATAACTTCTTTGCGCTGCCTTCTTTCTTTTGCGTTATCTTAGCTTGTTTTTTTTTTTATATGCTTGGCCAATAAGGCACGCACACACGCGCACACTGACACACACTCATTTCACTTGCTGCTTTTTCATGCATTTGCGCACACGCGCCAGCCCGCGCAAGTTTGTGTCTTAAGTCTTTCGTTTTACATTGTAATTTTTGTTTTTCGTTGTTTTTACTGTTGTTTTTACTTAAGAAATAACATAAAAAACAGCAGACTAATTTAAAATGCGGAAATTTCGCTTTAGCCCTGATAACTTGAGTTTTAAATGTTGTTTAAAATTTTGAAATATTTTCATTATAACAATTTTTTAAAACTCATTGTTTTAAGATTTTTCATATTTTTATGCACTTATTTGTTTGTATTTTTTACTGTCCAAATTGTCGTTAATTTTTTGTTAAGTTTTTAGTGTTATTCATAAACGATTTCCTACCATGCAGCGCTCTTCTAACCAACTTCTCCTTGAGCACGCGCCTCTGTTGCAATTTTCTTCAGCTGTGTTTCTTGCTCGCTTGTTTTTTTTTGCTTCTGTTTTGTTGTTTTTGTTTTTTGCCAACCGACTACCAAGTTTGGCCGCTGCGCGTAACGTTTTTCTTTTTCTTTTTTCGCTCGCTGTGTACGTTAACGTGTTGGCTTCCGCTTGAGCCAAGTGTCGCGGCCAAGCTTCGTTTATCGACTGAGCGCAGAAAGCGAACGCCAGCTCACTCGCAAGCTCAACGGCTCAGTTCACCCACAAAACTTGAGCGACGCAGCTTTCGCGACGCTTTGTCGACGCTTTTCAAGCGGCAATCGAAACTAAAAAAATTACAATAAAAAGTTGACATTTTAAATGATATTTTTTGTGTACGTCTAGAAAAAAATTAGAAAAAAAATACTTTCAAGATAAAATCAGAGACAACTTTTTCAGTCGATTACGAATTATAAAGTAATTAACATTTTATAGCTGTATGGACGGACACATTGGAAATAATTATTGACAAGTTCTGTTATAGCATATACACAATCTTAGCTAATCTTAGCTCTTAAGCTTATGCACATATTTAACTGAATTCATGATTTCAAACTATTTCTTTACAGGTATGCAAATATTTGATAGCAATTATTATTCAATGGTGAGTGCCTCTTTGATAGTCGTCTTAAGTGCGCATTTAATAATTTATATAAGGTCTCATTGCTAGGCTAACAGTCCCTAACTGAACTGAACTCTCTTCAATTGTTTTTTAGTCAAGTTTAGATTATTTTTAATGCTCAATCGTTCAATTTGAATTGTATGCTTTACAAATTTCGTATCGTTTCGTTTCGTTTGACGTTCGCTTCATATGATTATTTCAGTTTGCCTTCTTCTATCAACTGGAATTATTATTGACATGCGACACATGGAGCGCACAAAGATTATTCTAATTAAATCTATTTAACGACATCATTTAAATTTAGTTACTGTTGATCTTTTCCCAGACTAAGCGACTCCACTTCAAATTGTTATTTGGCGTGTGTTTAGCGTAAAACAATTTTCGAGGAGCAAAAGCCAAAACTATGAGGAAGCCAAAAACAATTTGTTGTTTGTTCTTTAGCCTGGGAAATTTAACTTGAGTTTATCGCACTTTAGTATAATAGAAAAAACTACTTAGATATGCTTAAGGTTTATATAAGCAGTTACTAGTTAATCTTTAATGCATTTGAATATATTTTCTGGGTTGAAATTTGCTTTACAATTGTGAATAATGTTTTGTAAATATCAATATTTATTAACAAATCATGGACTTTAGTTTCTTTTAAATGAAATTTTTTTTTTAAATTTGCTACGACGTTAAAATTGTTAAATTAAAACTGAGAAATAATGAGCATGGAACTCAAGTAGTAATAGTTGAATATGCAGATAATGTAATGTTCAACTAGCTAACTTTAACAAAGTGTTCGACTTGATATTCCACATCCGCTAATCAAGGCATTAATGTGCACGTTTCTTAGCTTGCTCAGGCTTTGATTAGATTTGCAATGTGTCTTTAAGAATATATTTAATTCTTAAATTGTTTAGGCCCATAGAAATAGCTGTTTAATCTTTGAACGCTTTGCTCGTCTGAATATTTATATCTAAACAAGTTTTGGTCCAATCAAAAATACATTCACTCTTGTTTGTCACTGGACTTGACATTAAGTTATATTTGCAGGTGCAGCACAGAGAAACGACTATTGAAGCTGAGGCTGCAATGACCCCTCACACATATTTTTAATTCATAACTTGGCTTCTGCAAACAATTGACCAGTTGAGCAATGTTTATAATTGTCAATTTTTATTCTTCCCCTTCACCAAATTTCTCACAGCGATGCTTATGATTCTAAATTAGAGGCGTATTTATGACTCTTAACTAAACTCAATTTCAATCGCTTCCACCTGCCTTAACCGAGACTTCAAACCTTTTAAAGCATAAGTTCAAACCTTCAAGTGATTTTAATGCAAGCAAATAGCTGTGCGATGTTTTCTAGCAAGAATGAAGAATCCTTAACAAGTTTTAGATACTGAAACAGCTATTCAATCTGCTCTTTCACTTGTATTATACATACACTCCACCTGCCCCAATTTGTCATTCATAAACAGTTCCTCAATCTTTCACTTGCTTTTATATGTGTCTTGCCAATATGTGTCTTCACACAGGTATCTTGCAACGCCTTGTTTCCAGTTTCTGTTGCACTTTGCCCCAATTTGCGGATGGGCATGCAAATTAACCCCATTTGTTTCCCATTTAACCCCAATTTTCACAACGCGTCTCTTCGCAGGTTTTTGGCTTTCGTATTTTTATATCTTTATTTTTTTCCTTTTTTTTTTTTATTTTTTATTTTTGCAAAACATTTCGAGATGCTTGCGGCCGTTTTGTATATATTTTGTTATTTTTGTTTTTTATTATTTCTTTTCTTTGCCGTTGCCCAAGTTTGCAAAATGAATTGGTTCGAAACATATTTCGCTGGCTGCGCCATTGCCAGGTATAAGGTTTATGACACGACACTCAAGTGTTGCGATACGAGTAGTTTAAGCATTAATTTCTATGCAAAACAAACCAAAAAACACTCACCTCGTCAGAGTGCTCCAGTGGAGAGTGCACGGCTTCGACATACCCGGAATCGAAACTGAGCAAGAAACCATCAAATAGATAGTGTAATATATATTTGATGATAGTGTAATATATATTGATGTATATATGATGTAATCTGTTTACTCTTTATCTTTATTAATTGATAATAATGACAGTTATAGTTATCTATATATATTAATCTGGTATGGCCAAACAAACAAATTTTTTATAGATTTTTTGACAGCAAATTAGCTTTGCATACAATAGGCCTAATTGCAATACATTATTTGAATCCATATATTTTTGTTTTCAATACAAAAATATATTGATTTTTATCGATTTTATACCTGACTTTTGTTATAGTTTCTGAAGAACGTAAGATTGGTATTTAAATTCTTTGATTTTCTGGAATAAGAAAATAGCTAGGTCCAGCTCTTCTCATAACTAGGTCCAAGAAAATTTTTTTTATCGATATTACAATAATTTAAAATAAGTTTAGCTACAAAAGCTCTGATCTCGTATAGTGTCGTATGCATTTTCTCTTACATTGTAGCATACGTACTTGTTCGCCTCGTTTTATCCAACCTTAAATGTTATTACAATTGTATTTTGCCCTTAACCTATCTATAAAAAAAACTGAGATACCCTCTTCATCCACTATGAATGGTTTCGTGGCATAAGAAGAGAGCTTCAAACATTCAAAACGCGCGAGTCGCACGATTTCTGCATAAATCTACCTCGCTCCCTTCCTCTCGCTCGCTCTTTCTTTCACCCAGACAGCTTCAAATGTAGCTACACAATTGTGAACTGGCACTTCTTCAGTTGTCTGCTGCTGTTGCCCTCCCTCAGCTTCAACGTCATTCGCTTCAACATATATATTTTCGTGTTCAAGGCCAAGCGCTGGCGCTTTCTTTTACAATAGCCGACCTTGACGCAGCGGCGACTGCGCAAGCGTCAGCGTTTCGAAGCACTCCCTCCAGCACGCCTTCTCACTCTCTGTCTCACTCTGCCTCTCCCTCTCCCATTTAAGCGCTCTTATCAATGCGCCAACAACAATAAACTAACCTACTTAGAGTATGTTGGCCCAGCTCACCTGTGCGTCCGTCCAGCTGGCTTTATTGATCAGTTCGCTGTCCGAGCAAATAGCCGCGTTTAAGCAGACGAACTTTTAATTTTGGCTTAGCTGAACACAAAAATGTCGCAAAGTTGTTTTTTTTTTTGCTGTTTGTTGCTGTTGCTTGATGTTGCTGTTGTTGGTTGTGCAATTGGCTAGCTAGCCCGCCTCTGCACCACTGACGCACTCTTTAGGGTCAGTTGCCCTCACCTGGCAATAGACACGTTGACTACGTCAGGCTGTTTACATAGATCAGTAAATTGCTTTTAAATGCAGTTCAACTCGTTTATTAGTCTTTAGGGTATTTATTAATTATATTTAACTAATATTTGTACATACAAATGATACTTAAACTATTTTTAAAGTATTTTGGGCAGCTTCATTAGATGAAAAATTTTAAGTTTTTTTAGATCATTTTATATACAACTTCTGAAATTGAAATTTTATTTATTATTAAAAATTACCATTATAATTACAATTATTATTATTATATGACAATTAAAAATAACATACAAACTATCTTATATAATATAATTTATCATTTAATATTTTTGGATTGTTAATCAAATCAATAAAATCAAAATTAAATTTATCCATCAAATTCAACTTTCCAATTTTCTGCTGTAAGCACAAACGATGAATATTAAAATACCTGAACTCCTTTTTTTATTAGGTATTAAAACCTTACAATGAACAAATAAACAAATTGACAATAATACAGTTACTTTAACATATTGCAATACTCTCATATAAAATACTTAATTAATAAAAATATTTGATTATACAGATTCTAAATCTAATTATATTTTCAGTTTTTATGCTATAAATAATAAAATGACTGAAAATGTAAAAATATTTTCTCAAATAATATTTTAAATAAATATAATTGATAATTATGCTAAGCTTTACTTGACTGTTATGCCATTCTTCTTCGTCTCACGCAAACACTCTTATTTTATAGAGTATCTGCAAATCAACCTTTTGTCTGCTCTGTATTCATGCTTAATTGCTGCAACTAAAACATAAACAAAATATGAAAAAATGAAAAAAAATGCAACTGAGCTGAGCTTCTCTTCAAATTGATTCACTCTCTCCCGCTGTAACTCACTGTCTGCCTCTCGCTCTCTTGCTCTCTCGCTCTCGTGCTCTCTTACCCGCCGTTGCTCTTCAGCTGACGCTTCTCTTGGCATTAGCTGCGAGGTTATAGAGTTTTGTAATAGCTGATGGGTTTATTGTGCTATTGTCGCAGTCTTTCAAATTAATTGCAATAAATGAAGAAAAAATACAATTAAAATATTCATTTATTTAGTTTTTTATTTTTCAATATTTAATCGCATACATTTTTTAGATTCTTTTAAAATGTATATTTTTTTAAGCTTAAAAGAGCTTGAGATACTTCTAATATTATATATAGTGTCATCTAGAGTTTTACTATACAAGATAATAGCAATGTTGTACAGCCACAATGTACAGCCACATTGTAGTCTTTATCATCTACAGTTGTGTAGAACGAACTTGATATGCCTCGTGTCGGTGTTGCAATTGAACAACTCTGACAACCTTTACAGCAAAAGGGCGGACTTGAAATTAGGGACCTGGTAGATAAGGTATATTTAGTATAGTCCGAGTGAAATAATTA